ATATTTATAAACGATTTAACAGGATATTAGAATCGCAAAATCGACTAAGCGTGAAAATAAATTATACCTAACTTTAACAATATTAGAACGTTATATAATACTTAACTACGTTATAAAACGTACCTACTAATAGCTCGTAAGTTAGGTATATGATGTAATTATAAAAATAATAAAACAATTTTATGATAATCGTGTTCTATTTCTTTTTTTTTACAGTTTTACTGAGGTGGGTAGATGTTTTTATTTATTTTTAGTTAAAGTCCGACTTACAACTCTGTTATTTACTTTCAGCCACTTTCAGGCTACGTGAGTACAAAAAGCAGCATTAATTTATCATGCAACTCTGAACTATGCTAAAAATCAGAATTGATTGATTTATTTGTATTGACAAGCATTCATCCCGTGCATCAAATGTAAATACGATGACAAGTTGAAGCTTTCTTAAAGCTATCGTGTCTTGGAAGTTAATTTAGTTTACTTTACATGTCTAGTGAGTAGTGAATATTCATTCAGCTAGACGAACACACTCGTAATTACTGTAAACGTCTTGCGGTTCCAAGTTAGTTTTATTATCTAAGTACCTGGGCCACCGAGCTTCACTCGGAGTTTTTGGTTAAAAGTACAATTTTCTTTTAAAAAAACAAAAAACTTGAATAAATACAAAAAAACAATAAAATTATACCTTTGTATACAACCGGGATTCGAACCCGGACACTTATTCAATCTTGCGCCTTGGCCGCTTGACCATGATGCTTATTTTCGAGCGTGCAAAAATATCGAACATAATATTTTGCATGGAATAATGCAAAAGGAAACCGCATGAAATATCGAAAACACGCGTTTTCCCAGACTTAAGACTAATCTAGATCGATTTATCGCCCCCGAAACCACATGTGTACTATATTTCATGAAAATCGTTGAAGCCGTTTCCGAGATTCAGATTATATATTGATATATAAATATATATACAAGAATTGCTCGTTTAAATATATTAGATTAGATATATTTAAACGAGCGATTCTCGTATATTTATTTATACCGGCGATCTCGGAAACGGCTATAACGATTTCCTTGAAATTTGGTAGTGGGGGTTTTCGGGGGCGAAAAATCGATCCAGATTAGTCTTACGTCTGGAAAAAGGCGTGTTTTCGTGTTTTCATGCAGTTTTCTTTCGCATTATTCCAATCAAAATATGGTCGCCAATTTCACACGCTTGGGCAAAATTATCGTGATCAAGCGGACAAGGCGCAAGATTGACGATCACAGGTGTCCGGGTTCGGATCCCGATCGAATACAAAGTTTTACTTTTGTTTTTTTTTATTTATTGAAGTATTTTTTTGATCTAAAAATACGATATAGCAAAAAAGAACGCCGAGCGAAGCTCGGTAGCACAAGTACTAGTATAGATTATACTCGTAAAGGTTACTATAGAGATTTTTTAATATTGGTTTATAAAGTTTAGGTACTAGTATAGTATTATATGATCTGTGTTTTAGGCACTAAGTATAAAATACAATACACTACTATAGAATATAATAAATTGATAGGTAAGTGTCAAATAAAAAAAAATTGTGAAGCCTAAGTTTCTATCCACACCATCTATATCCAGAATATTATAAACTATATACATAACCCAACTTAAAATCTCTATCAATGTCTAAAATCTAAGTATACAGAAAGCGGCGATTCGTCACATGGGTCACACCACCATTAATTTCTATAGAAAGAAAACTATACTGGACGCTTTTATAGCACTTTCGATAACATCAAAACTACATTAGAGCGTTATTTTTCAAAGGACAAACAACAACCTGGAATAAATCACTATAACTTACTGTGTTATAAAATATATTATGTGTAGTGTGTGTAATTCAGTCAGACACCTGATCAGATCTAAGTCAAAACTTTTAAAATATATATACATATATTTTATATAAGTACTTATGCGCATTTTTTAAAATACCGTGCCGTATATATCTATACATATAATAAAATTGTAACTAAGTCGAATCTGTACATTAAATATTTTTTGGAAAATCTAATTGAAATAGATATTATTATCGATACAGAGTCCAAATCTATAGTAATCTATAGTTTTTAGAATTTTTGTCTGTCTGTCTGTTACCGCATCACGAGAAAACCACTGGACAGATTTTGATGAAATTTGGTATGATGATAACTGGTTATCGGAGTCAACATATAGGATACTTTTTACCGCGGGAAAATATTTCATTTCTGAGACAAAATACAAAAACTGCATTGTAAGTGTATACTAATATGTAAAACCTAAGAATTTGGTTTTTGGTCATCTGAACGCGGGCGGAGCCGCGGGCAATGCCAGTGTATGTATAAAAGTAGTTTTAAGGGCCCGCTGAATTCAATTTAAGGTGAATAAAAAATCTTCTATTTAAATACCTACATATATCAATAAACATCAGTATCATCATAATATATTATAATACCATCTTAATATTTCGGTATACCAAGGGCAAGAAAGATAAAACTTGGCCAGACTAAATAGTAACTAAAAAATTTTCTTCACTTTAATCTTTCATACCTACATATTATGTACATATGTATGTCTCAAACCCTTAACTGCCTCGTTGGTGGAGTTACATTTTTATTATATGTAAAGATTTAATTTAAATGACAAATTGTGTAGTGCCAGGATCCAATTAAATCGGTTATCATTTGTTCCCAAAAGAAAAAAACTGAAGAAATTGTGGGCCAAACGTTCAATCAAGACGATAAGACGACCAAAATTGGCAAAATCACAATCTTTATATTTAAGGCTATGTTAACGACGAGACGCTTTTTACACAGGCCGTGCAAACATCCCTCGCTCCGCTGTGGTAGAAAGTCGCGAACAACTTGTGTCTCAAATCGAGAGTATTCTTTCCAGAGTCTCCGATTGGGGTCGGGACAATTTAGTCGAATTTAACCCCTCCAAGACACAAGTTTGTGCGTTCACCGCTAAGAAAACCCCATTTACTGTGGCCCCTCAATTCCAGGACACACCCCTAACCATCTCCAACAGTATTGGTATTCTTGGTGTCGACATATCCAGCGACGTCCAGTTCCGAAGTCACCTGGAAGACAAGGTCAAGCTGGCATCCAAAAAGCTAGGTGTGCTTAATAGAGCGAAGCGGTACTTCACCCCGGGACAAAGACTGCTTTTATATAAATCGCAAGTCCGTTCCCATATGGAGTACTGCTCGCATCTCTGGGCGGGAGCACCGGCATACCAGCTTGGGCCTTTTGACTCGGTTCAGAGGAGAGCTGTGAGAATTGTCGACGATCCAATACTCACAAGCGATATAGAACCCCTAAGTCTAAGAAGAGATTTTGCGTCCCTATGTGTGCTCTATCGTTTGTACAATGGGTTGTGTTCCGAAGAATTGTTCGAAATGATGCCCACGGCCACTTTCTATCACTGCACCGCTCGCCATCGACAGCGAGTTCATGCTCACACATTGCAGCCCAAATGGTCCCGTACAGTTCGGTTTCAAAGGAACTCCCACGGACCATCTCGCTGTGGAATGAACTCCCTGCCGAGGTTTTCCCAGAGGGCTACAGTATGGGGTCCTTCAAAAGGGGGAGTAAATAGGTTTTTAAAGGGTCGGCAACGCACATGTGATGCCCAAGGTGTTGCAGGCGTCCATAGGCTGCGGTAACCGCTTACCATCAGGCGGCCCGCGTGCCTGATTGCCACCGACGTGGTATAAAAAAAAACATCATTTTACAAAAAGTCATTCTAAAACTTTTAAATCATCTACAGGTAAATATTTAACTTTTATCCCCCATTTTACCCCGATAAAGGATTAAATTTCGAAAAATGCTAAAACATGTATGTATTTAATTGTATTGAAGAGCAACTTTCAAGTAATTCTGATCATAAATAATTCTTTATCCATATAAACTTTATTACTCCATTTTACCCATTTAAAGAATGAATTTGGACAAAAATAAATAAATATATTTCTTATTTTTTATATTAAAGCTAAACACCACTTTCTGTGTATTTCACATTAAGAATGATAGAGTTTTATACAATCTTCAATCCCCTATTTTACCCACATAGGGGATGAATTTCAAAAAATCCTTTCTTAACCGATGCCTACATCATATAAAGAATACGTTCTCCAAATTTCACGTTTCTATGACCAGCGGCTTAGGATATGTGTCGATCCATCAGTCAGGACCACCACAGGATGCACCTCTTGTCAATTCTCCCTTTATCTGCTCTAACTTCTAGGTACAATACATTGCATAGGTAAGATGTGAACACAATAAATGCATAAAACCAGGTACAAAAAAGATATAATAAATTGTTGAATGTAAATAGATTATACGTGTAGCGCCCTCTTTTCATTTATTTATATTCAATCTTACCAATCTAATAATTAGCCAAGTGATACTGGCAGCACTGGTCTACATCCAACTTCCGTTATTATTAATTTGATCGCGCTTGATCTGTCGATCGGTCGAGAAAATTGCGTATTTCCTTAGCGTGTAGTGTTTGTTGGTAAGCAAACTTTTTATTTGTTTGACTGGATTAATTTAACGAATTGTTTATTATATTATATCTCTGTAGTAACCATTTTCTTTATTTTATAATAAAGAAAATATTTATATACTAACGTTTCTAAAATTAAGTATTAACCCATTGATTTTTTATATTGCATCTGAATTTTATCATTATTTTACAACTAATACTAACAAAGGCATTATAATTATAAACTTTAACTTATAATGGCTTACTAATGATAATGAAAGAAATTGGACTTTCTAGTATATAACCAAAGGTCCGCCATTTTTTAACGAATGCATATTTAGCATTTTTAAATATCGCTATTACTAATTTTTAAATATATCTAAGTACATTCAAACATTTTTAAACAAAACAAATTAAAGGCTAAGTACAATTTAACAACGAGGTTACGTAAAACAAACAAAATATAAATATTTATACCTACCCTTGTTCTTTTTTGCTTAGAAACATGTCTGAGAGAGGTCGTGGGAAAGCACGAGGACGTGCTGGTAGAGGTGCAGACGGTAGTGGGCAACAACCGAGGCGACCCGGGCAGCAGCCACAGCCTCAAGCTGGGCCCCCACAATATCAACCAGGCCCTCCACAACATCAACCAGGGCCTTCACAACATCAACCTGGACCCCCGCGTCCTCGACCCCAACCACCATCAGCTTGGGGCGCTCCGTCTGCAGCTCCTGCTGTTAGGGCGGGTATGCCTACACCAGCTGCTGGTAGGGCTTCCCACCGGACTACTACATCAACACATGATCACCCAGGAGATGTTGATATTCAACAAAGAATGACAACTATGACTATTAGTAAGTATACAAACATTTCTGTAACTAAACTATTTTCGTTATTTATGGGTTTTATCACAAATTTTAAAATAGGTAAATATATGCCTTATAATGGTTTATAAACAAAAAATATTAGGATATTAAAAGTTGGGACACTGAAAGAAAAAAAAGTAACTAATTTGTTGTTGTTAAGTTAGCCAGATATGTAGTTTATGCAACCTGATATGCTTGTTTAGTTTTATTGTACATAATGAAATTACAACTATGTTACAGTTACCTACTAATGACCTTCCTTTTTTCATATGCGAAAAGAAAGTTCGACTCATAGTCTCCAATACTATGTAGTTTTTAATATAATATATACTTAAGCATTTATAAGAAAAATAAAAAGAATTGCAGTAACAAATGCAAGAAAATGTTACCTATTCCTGTTGGGCAAACAAGTTTTTTTTTTATTTTAAACACATCTTATTAATATGATGACACTTACTCATAGTTTAGTTCTTTAAACTGACAATACATCTAGAACAAAATTTCAATATTACTAACATCATAACTGACTCACCCTCGCTTCACTCAGGTTTGTCGCTAAGTATGTTTTAACAGTTAGTATACAATATATAGACTAAATATTAGTATATTTTATTATTATTAGGGTGGTTATAGGGGTAGGGTGTTTTTTTTTTGCTCCCAGAGGCTCAAATGCTTCCAAAATGATAAAAACCATCAAAATTTGAGCACTTAATATTAATTCTTAAGATAGTCCACATTCCAACCAAAGTTTCTGAAAATAACTAGGGATAAATAATCAGACATTCACAATCTTATAGAGAATTTAACACTCAACGACAAAGGTTTCTCATGATTTTTCACTAAGTCTATTGGTTCAAAAGTTATTCAAGCTCAAAGTTTAATTTTTAAATAACTCTCAATATTAATGTTTAAATAACAGGGTCTCAAACTATCTTCATATTAAATTTCATGTAAATCGTTTCAGCAGATTTTTAGTTTATCCATTACAAACAAACAGAAAAATAATATATTTTTTTCTATTTTATTATTAGTATAGATAACTATAGATATATTGAATTATTGTTTGAAGTTTTACAATTTATCTATTGTATTACTTGAAACAATAGTAAATCCAAAGAAATGATTGGCATATTTGTATAATTTGATTGCAGTAAAAGTATTTTACCTACACTATTGAATTATGACATATTTCTATTTTTAAGAAAAATGCTCAAATATCAACAAACTAATATACTTTTCATATATTCAGCCCTTTCTAATGTCGCACTGCTGGGTACGGGCCTCCCTTCAATATATTATTTTCATATCTTGTCCCAATTACATAATATCTCAAAATACATTTTTTGGTAAATAATGTGAGATGTTTAAATTATTTATTTGATTACTTATGCAAACATGTAGAAATCTTTATAATACACAAACGATTATATTTTGCAATGCATAATATTGTTACCCCCATTTGTATAAAATGGTTGTTAACCCCCCATTTGTTTTTCTTCATTATAATTTAGTACATTTTTCTAAAATTATTGACAGGTAGAAAACTTCATTAATGCTATGACATATTATTATGTTACCATATTCGCAGAAAGTACTAATTAATCTTGTTTTATTATATATTACATGAATACTGTTGTACTAGTCAAGTCAGGCTATCAATTCTGTTAATTACATTTAAAACTACTTGAGGAGGTTACTTGATTTCTTCAATAGCTGCAATACCTTTACCTTTGAATTTGTGCGAATTGACTTATGTTTACATGTTTTAATATATTGTAGGTGTAATAAAATTGAAAAAATAACATTATGATGAAAACAGTGTTTAAACTTTTATCCAATAATCTTAAGTTTTTTTATAAAATAATCTTTGTCATTCGTAGTAGTACCGCCGCCATTTTATATTTCCCTTTTTCATACAGAGTTACATAATCAAAGATCCGATAGCTGGAAGATTCTTTTCGCGCATGCACAAATGCAATATCGATTTTATGTTAGTCAGCAATATTGACTTCTGGCGGCCATTTGCAATGACTACTTCAGATCTTTATTGTAATAAAATTTAAAATATTTATAGTTAGGCATAATAAAATATTAACCGCAACCAGATTTGCTTTACAAATGCACGATTTTGACTCGAAAAAATAATACAACCAGCCATAGGTATCAATAATTTTTTAAATAATTGCAATTCGTTACTTTTTTCAGTCGGTTTTCAACCGCACAAAAAAAATATTTATATATTATCGTTTTTCCCCACAAACATTTTACGGCTATATTTTTATTTTAAATATGCATATTGCAGAAGTAAAAAAGGAATCGTAAAGTATTATATGCAATACTATATGTACTAAAAACAATATGATGATATTGATGTATATTCATTATTCTTTAAAACGCTTCTCTCAAGTAAGGCGATGGTAAGGGAAACTAAGAAGACGTCTTGCGATACGCGAGAAAATCCAGCAAACCTTCGTACTCAGAAACTACGATCTGCTTAAAGTATTGCTCGAGGAATAAAAACACGGCTTCGATTGTTCTCTTGGTTGTGTGGTCTGCTTCGGTAGACCTGCTGTCAGGGTGTCGTAATTCAAAATATTTTATTCAGCATTAAATTTTTACAATTTTTTTACTGAACGTAATGAGTCTACTACCAGTTCGGAAAGAAGAAGTCTCAGACCTGAGAAGAACTGGCGAAAGAAACTCAGCGTGACTAATATTAATATCTTTTTTTAAAGTAAAATTATAATTTACAATATTTCTATCAACAGTGTTAAGTTGCGAGCGGTGTAAACACGACGCATTCATATCGCTTGGAGTAAGTAACTATTCTTTAATTCTGAGAAACGATTAGACTGCGAGTGCGTCTTATCGCTGTCCGTATTTTAGCTAGCAAAAATGATCTTTATTGATCATGGCGGAGGACTTAATTCTAAATGAAGATGTTAAACACAGTGAATTCTTATTGCAATATTGGAATAAACACATTTGAGGAACAAACAAATTTATATGAGGAGACGATGGATGATTTGGGAAGAAAACGAATAAGAGATGAGGAAAATGGTGGTGAATGGCAGCAAGTTGTAAGTCACACAAAGAAAAAAACAAAATTAATGGATAGTTCAGAGAGTGATTTTATACAAGTTTGCATTACAGGTAAGAATATGTTACCGAAGGCGTTTACTTTAGCAAAATTATTCCGCGAACAAAAAATTTTGGATGTTATAAAAGTAAAATACATTAACCCATATAAAATTAACGTAAGTTTCAGTAATGAATCTAGTGCGGAAAAGTTAATAGCATGTGAGGAATTTATAAAATTGGAATGGAGATTTCAAAAAAGCTGGGAAGTTGGATTATCATTTGGTATAATTAGAAATATTGATACAGAGTTGTCTGAAGAAGAAATAATAAAAAATATTTCTTGTGACTTTGAAATAGTTGTAGTTAAAAGACTAAACCGTCGATTCGAAAAAGAATGGATTCCTAGTGATACTGTTAAGATTGGATTTAAGGGTTCTAATCTTCCTGGATATATTTACATACTAGATCTTAGAGTGAAAGTAGAACAGTATGTTTTCCCCGTTACACAATGCTCTAAATGTTGGAGGTTTGGCCATGTACAAAAGATGTGTCCATCAAATAAACCTGTTTGTCCAAAATGTACTCAGAACCACCCTAATTGTGATAGATTAGTATATAAATGTGTGAACTGTTCCGGAAATCACATGGCATTGGAAAAAAATTGTAGCGTATATAAAAAAGAAAAGAGAATACGAGAAATTATGTCAGAATTTAATTGCCCGTACAAAAAAGCGGTTAGTATGTATGTACACCCATCCCCAGATACACAGATAGTAAATTCAACTCCCTCTGCAAAGGATTACGTATACATGCCGCAATGTACGATAGATGCGTCCCCATCATATTCAGAAGTTCTAAGAATGCCACAAGAAAATCATAAAGCAGTCTCTCCATCTCAGAATGTTAAAAAACCTAGTGCTAAGAAAAAGAAGAAACGGGTACAAATTTCCGAAAATGTCTACGCAGATTTTCTACAGATTCTGATATAGGCTTAGAGAATGAAAATAAAACTCCCTTTACAACAAGTGAAGAAGAAAATAAGCAACGGGAAGAATATCAAAAAGTCATACAAGATCTACTTAATAAATTAAAAAATATAATTTTTAATAATAATTTAAAAATAACATCTAAGTTGAAACAGATAGCTAAAACAATAATTGAATGTCTAACTTTAGTAGTTATAAATTTTTGTTCTGGCTTACCTATGGTTAAACCATTTTTTAAATATTTTAGTGATGGATAGAAAAATTAGTCAAATTATTAAATTAAATATCTTGCAATGGAATTGTAGAAGCTTAAAGCCTAAATTATAATCATTCGAACAGGTCTTGTTACAGGAAAAAGTTCACATAGCAATCTTATGTGAGACATGGTTTGAACCAGATGCCTTTATTAAAATTAAGGATTATAATATTTTTAGACTCGATAGGGATGACGGTTATGGTGGTGTAGCAATTTTAACACACAAATCAATAATTGCTCACAGACAAGCCGTTCAAGGAATAACTAGAGGAATCGAAGCAGTTTGTATTAAGATTTTAAATTGTCCTCAAATTAATAATATATACTCAATATACTGCCCTAATGGTATTAACATGGTACAAAGAGACTGGGAATATTTTTTTCTCTAGCTGAAAGTAAATCATTATTATTGGGAGATTTTAATAGTCACCACAGTTCTTGGTCAAATAAAACTGACAATAGAGGGAATCAAGTTTTCAATGCTTTAGTTCAATCGAATTTAATTCTGCTTAATAACGGTAGTTCTACACGTTTTCAACTAATGAATTCTAGTTTAAGGGAATCTACGCCAGATCTATCATTTGCATCCTCTGATATTTCGTTAAATTTTAATTGGGTAATTACTAATGAGTTACTTGGAAGTGACCACCTTATGATAAAAATTACTTCTGCATTACATTACGATGTTGATCTCGAAAAGAAAAGAAATTTCAAGTTAGCAGATTGGAAGGGATATTCGAGTTATTTAGAACTATTGTTAAGTGACTTTTCAGTAACAAATAATATTCAATACGATTACAATATTTTTATGCCTTATATAAATGAGGCTGCGAACAAATTCATCCCTTTCATTAAATTATGCAATATTCCACATTCTAGATTTGTTCCTCGACCCTATTGGTCTGTTGAACTCTCTAGAGCTGTAGCTATCCGCCGAATTGCTCTTAGAAATTTTCGACGCAATCCCACACCTCGAAATTTAGAAATTCTTTATGAAAAAATTAAGCACGCCAAAAGACTTAAGAATAGCTCAGAATAGGTCGTGGCATCAATTCTGTACTTCGCTTGACAATAGCTGTTCTTCTCACGAGGTATGGTTTAAAATGAAGTGGTTTAAAGGTTACAAAACTACAAAGGCACATATTAACATTGAACTCATTAATGAGCTCCTAACAAAATTATGCCCCGATTTTGTTTGCCGTAATCGTCCTATATTTACTCCTGGAAATGAATTGTTGGAATCGATGATCACATTACACGAATTAGAAGCTTGTATAAATAATAAAGTTACTGCTCCAGGTAATGATTCAATTTCTTTTTCAATGATTAAACATTTACCCTATTCAGCTAAAATTATTTTACTTCATATATTTAATAATATTTTAACATTTGGTGTGATTCCTTCACAATGGCATAATATTTCGATAATTCCTTTACCTAAACCTGGGCGTAACATTTAAGATATTTCATCAATAAGGCCAATATTATTAATCTCTTGCATTTGTAAAATTTTTCATTCAGTTATAAATAAAAGAATAGAGTGGTTTTTAGAAAAATATAATTGTTTTCCTTCAGATATGGTAGGATTTAGGAAATCTCGTTCCTGCTTAGATAGTTTAAGTATTCTTGTATCTAGAATACAAATGGGATTTTGAAATAATGGTGTAACTTTAGGATGCTTTCTTGATTAAGAAAATGCTTACAACAACATTGATACTTTTAATTTATTACAAAATTTGAATAGATTAGGTGTAGGCCCCCTAATTTGTAGTTATATTTGGAACTTTTTAACAGAAAGATATTTAGAAATTAAAATTAATAATTTGAGTGTTACTCGAAAAACTAGTCAAGGAATTGCCAAAGGAGATCCTTTATCCCGCCTTCTTTTTAATATTGCAACAATAGACATCTGTAAACTTTTTCATAATGTCAATGTTTCACAATTCGCTGATGATTTCCTGCTTTATACTACAAATAAAAATATAGAAGATGCCACAAATACAATGCAAATCGCTATCAATGTTTTCTCAAAAGCAATTGATCAGCTTGGGTTAAATATCTCTCCTTCAAAAAGTAAAATTTGCCTTTTTAAGAAGGGTAAAAATAGGAAGTCGATTAAAGTTTTTGTGAATGAAAAAGCATTAGAAGTTGTGGAACATGTAAAATATTTAGGATTATGGTTAGACAGATCTCTAAGGTGGGGTAAACATGTTAATGAAGTCTATGCAAAAACTTCAAAATTTTTAAATATTTTTAAAGTTTTAGCCGGATCTGGTTGGGGGATTCATCCCAAACACTTAAGACGAATTTATTTATCAATTATCCGCAGTCGCATGGATTACGCTAGTTTCCTTTTTGATGATTGCAGTGAAAGCCATTCAAAGAAATTGGATAAAACAAATCAGGCTTTACGAGTAATAGGTGGGTTTATTAGGAGCACACCAACTCATGTAATGGAAGTCGAGTTGAGTATTCAGCCACTTCGTTGCCGTAGATATTACTTGGCTGGTAAATTTTGGCATAAATCATTTTCCATTCAAGATAATATATTAATTAAAATTCTTCAAGAGTGTAGTTCGTCTAATATTTTTGCTTTGTGGAAAAGAAATCGTATTCCATTGTTAACTGTAATTCATGATGCTTTTAAAGACACTATCATGCATCGTAGCAAAGAACTTAAATTATTTTCACTAAACACTTGGGTTAGTAACATAAATTTATCGAATTTAATTAAATTACATATTGGTAATGAATTTAATCCTAAAAGGTTATATAATGTAAATGAAATGAAAAATAAATGTGAAAAATATATTGAAGACCAATTTAACGGTTTTTATAGAATTTTTACAGATGGATCAAAACAAAAAGACTTAAGGGGTGCAGCATTTTTAGACTTTCAACTTTAGATTTTATTAAAATTATGATTGATGGACATATCTCAATTATGCATGTTGAACTATTGGCTATTTTGGAAGCATTATGCTACGTTCAGACAATAAATACCGATAAAATTGTAATTTTCTCTGATTCTAGGAGTTCACTTCAACATATAGCTCGATGTACATCTAATATTAGAAGCACACCAGTAGCTTACGAGATTTTGAAATTGATGCATAACTTTAGTAAAGAGGGTAAAAAAATAATTTTACAATGGGTTCCGTCTCATGTTCATATATTGGGAAATGAGATGGTAGATAGATTGGCTAAAGAAGCGACATATGAAGGAAACTTATTGGTAGTTGCGCCGTATTATACAGAATGTCTTTATTTGGTTAAAAAAAAGGTTTTTAATATCTGGAAAGAGTTTTTTGATAAAAGGTCAAAAGAAAAAGGCATCTGGTATAGGACTATTCAGGCTGAACCAATAATTCGTCCTTGGATTGACATGACCTGTTTGAGTAGACAAGATACTGTTCTTGCTATGCGCCTCCGCTCTGGACACATTCCATTAAATAAATTTGCATTTTTAATGGGTAAAATTGCTACACCAAATTGCTTGCAATGTGGAATTGTAGAAGATGTTTTCCATATATTAATGGAATGTGTGTGGAATGAGGCGCAACGTCAAAATTATTTTACAAATAATCCAATTTTTTTAACGACTGGAGGTATAAATATTGTATTATCGAATCCTTCTTATAATGTAGCAAGATTAATTTATAAGTTAGCAAAAATTGTAACAAATGCAAGTAATACATAATAATTGTACGGGTGTACCTTAATACAATTTGTTGTTAAAAATTTATAAAATGTAATTAAGATACCATTGTAAACGTAACAGAGCGTCATAGTCGCATATTAAGCGACAAAGCTCTTTAAATGGAGATTAAAAAAAAAATATATTTCTATCAAGTTGAAGTAGCCTGGAGGCGATCATTTCATTCCCAAGGTGTGCCATCTTCTATAAAATCATTTATTGTATAATCGCCTTTAGCACACAAACGTTCTTTAACAATTTTTTTGAATTTGCCTAAAGAAGCCTTTTGAACATTTTCTGGGATCCTGTTATACAAGCGTATACATTTTCCATAAAAAGAATTACTGACTGTGTAAACGAGTCACAGGCATTACAAGTTTGTGTTTGCTCCTAGTATTAATGTTATGCATGTCACACTTCTTTGGAAATTCGTGTATATTTTTACTGACATACATAACATAATTTTGTTTATAATGATGATTTTAATTTTTATTCTTCAAATGTGTCTAAATTTCTTCCAAACCTCTACTGCACTAGATATATTGGCGTCTTTTTTTTTAATTGTAGCAATCATGATTTTTTCTAACCCTCTTGCGGTCGAACAACAGTTTCACTATTCTACACCAAACTCGCCAACACCCTGCACAGCGAGGGCCCACTAGTCCCATTAGAAGAGGCAACGTCTCAAGACCCCAGAACATCTAGTGGATTCTTTTGAAGACTACTCCAGATCCTTCGATCACTCTTACACCTAACAGCTGATCTAAGTAAAACCCAGGTCCAAATTCACACGAAATGCTTCATAAGAAGGTCACGAAGAGAGGGTGGGTCTAAGGCAAAGAAAAGGCTGTTTTACTACTACTTTTCAGATCATCGTCAAATTTCTACTGAATAATACTAGACAAACTGAACTACATTTGTATAATATGTATTATATATATATATATATATATATATATATATATATATATATATATATTGCTAATACTTAGTGTGCTTTAGATAAATAAGAAATCGTAATCTGCTCTTCAGATCAACCACAGGCAGGAGGCGCAGAGGCTGGATCAACAGTTGTAGGCCGTGGTTCGCGTAGAGGAGGTGGCAGAGTCTTACCAGAACAAATAACAGTTTTGCGCACCCGTCCTGAATCCATTACTTCCAAAAAAGGTAAAAGAATACATAATTACACTGCAATCTTCACCTTCTTAAACTTATATGTATGTATACAATTTTCACCTTTTGTTGGAATGTTATATTACCCTTCAAGTTAAAATTAATGGGATTGGGACAGGACAGTGGACGTAATGGTTTTTGTTTGTATATTGTAATTATTGTTATACTAAATAGAAGTTGAATCTATAACATTTATAATTGTTGCAGTTTATGTTTGCAGTCACATAAAAGGCTAAGGCTAAATGTAATTAAATAGGTTTTTTTATATAGTAGAAGTGTGATTAAATTTTATAATATATTTCCTAGGTAAAACTGGCACTCCATTGGATTTGTGTGCCAATTACTTCAATGTAGAGACAACTCCCAACTGGTCTCTATATCAGTATCACGTCGATATTCAACCTGAAGAGGATAGTACTGGTGTCCGTAAGGCTTTGCTGCGTGTTCACCAGAAAACACTAGGAGGGTAAATATCTTTTAAATATTTGGTAACATGTTTGATTATACTTCTAACATTAAAATGTAACACTGTTAATAACAAACTTAGCTAAAATAATTGTTATTTTAGGTACTTATTTGATGGTACTGTGCTATACACTGTAAATAGATTACACCCAGATCCCTTGGAACTCTACTCAGATCGCCACACTGATAATGAACGCATGCGTTTGCTTATCAAGGTAAGAGAAATATTCTAAAACAAGTATGCTTTAAAGTTGCATAATATAAATAATATGATATAAGTCAAATCCAATTTACTTATTTCACTTAATACAATCAAATGAATGTATCTATTATTTTTAGCTCACCTGCCAAGTTAGTCCAGGAGACTATCATTATATTCAAATATTCAATATCATTATAAGAAAATGCTTCAGCATCCTGAAGCTTCAATTACTTAACAGAGATTTTTTTGATCCAGATGCAAAAGTAAGTGTATTTTATTTTGTGTCTAGCTGTGTGTATTCATTCACACTTTGTAAATCAAATTATAATTATTTATTTAACTGAATAAAACAAGTCAAACACAATAAAAAATATTTATTACTTTTTTAGATTGATATTCCGGAGTTCAAACTACAAATCTGGCCAGGCTATAAAACCTCTATCAATCAATATGAGGATAAACTTCTTTTAGTAACTGAAATTACGCACAAGGTAAATTTCTACGGCTTTTAACGTAATATGTAAATTAATTACTCAAAACAAAATGAATGATTAATTTAATTTGTTTGTTTTAAGATTCTGCGAATGGATACAGTCTGGCAATTGTTAAAGGGCCTCATACATACTAAAGGGAACCAATTTAAAAAAGACTTTTTGGAAGCAATTGTTGGAAAGATTGTTATGACTGATTACAATAAGAAGACATACAGAGTTGATGATGTTACATTTGACGAGTCACCTAAATCCACTTTCCGTATGAAAGATCAAAATATTTCATACATAGACTACTATTATAAGGTAATTTTAAATTTATTATTGTTTAGTAACTTAGATACTTGTTTCAAATTTGAATTTCAAACGAAATTGCATTATGCGTATACAAGTCACTAGATATCTAATTTGGCACATAATATGCGGACAGAAATAAATTAAGTATCGAGAGAATAAGAGTGGCTAATTTCTCTTAATCTACTCAACCACTTTCGGAAAAGTGCGTGAAGAAGTGAATAATATTAGCACGTAAAATAATCCTTTAAGTGACATAAGTGATACGATTTTCTAATAAAATTTACAGAAATACAATATAAGAATCCAAGATCATAGTCAGCCTCTGTTGATATCCCGTTCTAAGCCCCGCGACATTCGCGCCGGCATGCCGGAATTAGTGTACCTTGTGCCGGAACTGTGCCGTCAGACAGGGCTGACCGACGAAATGCTTGCGAACTTCAACCTCATGCGTGCACTCTCTGTGCACACTAAAATAGGACCCGATATGAGGATTCAAAAACTGCTCAATTTTAACCGTCGCTTCACACAGAACAAAGAAGTGGTGGCGGTAAGAACTTTTTCAACAAACTTTTTCGTTTTAACATTTAGTATATATTTCTCAGGGACAAGATATTTTCCCATATTAAAAAGTATTTTATATGTTCACCCTGATAACCGGTTATCATTGTACCAAATTTATTTTCATGCCACAAATATATTAATATTAAATAGTAATAAAAGGAAATCCTTATCTTTTTTTCTATCATATAGGAACTTGGCACATGGTCACTGAAACTATCAAATGATTTGGTCCGCTTTAAAGGGCGCCAACTACCTCCGGAACAAATTATTCAGGGTGGGAACATAAAATATTCCGCCGGCAATACCTTAGATGGCTGGACAAGGGACATGAGGTAATATATCTTCTGACACTAAGCAAGAACAATAAAATAAATTACACCTGCATCGAGAAATCATAAGAATACTGAAAACCTTTTGAGAATATGCTATTTACATCATAACAAAATTTTACAAAAACAAAAATATTTTTATTGCACCTTCTTTCTAAACGGTAATTATAGTTCAGCATTAGCAAAAGAAAGCGCGTGACCGGTGGAGGGGGAGGGGTGTAGGAAGCGGCGCTTACTCATTTAAACTTGGCTATATGCTAGGACTTTACCGTTTAGAAGGTGCAATAAAAATATTTGTTTTTGTTTGAAAATAAAAATTTAAGAAATATTATTTTTTCTTGTGACAGATGTTGTTGTTATGATGTAAATAGTATATTCCCAAAAGGTTTTCAGTAAATTAAAAATGACCTTGTATACTACAATAACTTATTAATATTCTATAAATTATATTTTCACAGATCAAAGAATTTACTTAATTTGGCCAATGTACCTTCGTGGGTCGTCATAACTCCCGAATTTCAACGTAGAAATGCAGAACCTTTTGTGGAGTTAATCATGAAGACAGGCAGTGGAGTTGGCTTCAGAATGCCTAGGCCTGAAATTGGTAAGCATGTTAAATATATAAATTTTAATTATATAAAATCTGTAAATAAATGAGCAGAAATTATAAAATAATCACAAGTATTATATTTATCAAAAAAAAACGATGTTGTTTAGATCACTCAAATATCAAACATAATTCATAGTCAGTTCTTACCACCTGTCAAGTGCAACATCCCTCTCCAAGATACAGGGGTATACAAACTTGATTGTGATTGTGGGCTCTTCTACATCGGACAAACAAAGAGATCCATTAGAACTTGGGTCAAAGAACACATAGCTGATGTGAAGCACCGTCGCGATACAACATCTGCAGTCTGTAAACATAGCCAGGATCGCCCAAGCTCTACATTCGCTTTGATAGTCCACAAATACTCGCGAAAGAGAACCGTTATCGCCCCAGGATGATACGCAAAGCTATTGAAATTAAAAAACATCCAAACTTAAATAGGGAAGATGGCTGGGTACTACCATTATCTTGGGATCCTGTAATAAACATAAAATCTAACAACAAAAACAAATATAACAGACCAGTAGATGTAGTTAGTTCATACTGTGTGGATTGCAATAATAACAGTAATTCTGATTACTATTTTTTGTCTATAAAGGTAGCAATAGTGTTGCTTAATATTTTACCTTTAAATAATAGCAATCTAAATTAATATTATAAGTTCTTTTAAATTATAATATATAAAAGAATAATATTGCTTAGATAAATAATTAATAGTTTTAATTTTTAATATTTTTTATTGTTATTCATAATAATAGCAACACTACATAATATGATGATGATGATGTTCTCCTGACCGATTCCGGCCACGGCGGCCAATCTCATTGACACTAGCCAACTGCGCAGAATATATTATAGTCCACAAGTGTACGCGCAGACACAACGTGCACTCTCTATTCCTGTCACTCTCATACTCTGGTGGGACGACAACTCGACACGACCAGTGAGAGTTAAGGCGCAGGACCGACGGCTTTGCGTGCTCTCCGAGGCACGGGGGTGAAACACCGCCAACTTCCCAACTCCGTGCTGTTACTGAGTCTTACTATGCAGAAATACTCAATAACTAAACTCGGCCCGACCCGGGACTCGAACCCAGGACCTCCAGGTGTGCAACCGTACATGCTAGCCACTACACCACCGAGGCAGTTAATACACAGTGTTTAATTATACTTTTATTTTCAGTTACGATACAGCGAGAAACTGCAATGGATTATGCGAATATGTGCGAAAATGTAATCGCCAAGAGGAATCCTGCTATGATACTTTGTGTTTTGACCCGCAACAGTGCTGACAGGTATATATCTCTTCTCTGCTTAATGTGAACAACATTTATATTTATTTACAAAGTGCAAAATGCCTAAAGAATGTAGCATTTTGTTTTATCTCTTCCTTTATTTTAAACGTCTGTACAAAATATGCCTTATTTTACCTCTTAAAGGATCATTTACCAGCAGTCCAATTCAGGTACACTTAATCCTTAGTTATATAAGGAATTCTTAAGTAAAATCTCATGCTACCATATTATGCTGTTTCACAAATGGCTAATATGGATAAGAATCATAATTTAAAACATGAATTTATATAAAAACTAGCTGAACCACAAAAAAAAGTCTTAAGTGGTAGGTTTCATACAAACTCTCATCCGCTATTTTACCCCCTTATGGGATGAATTTCAGAAAATACTAAAACACGTATTTAATTAATTGTATTGAAGAGCATTTATACCAAGTTTCAAGTAATACTGATCATAAATATTTTTTGGATTGTAGTATAACGTGTTTTCCCGTGGAAAAGATAATTTCCCGCGGTAAAAAGTAGCCTATGTCAATCTCCAGCCCTCTAAACTCCACACAAAAAATCACGCCAATCCGCCAAGCTGTTTTAACGTGAAAGAAAGACAAACAAACAAATACACTTTAACATTTATAAAATTTGTATGGATAGTCATGAATATTTTTTATTTGTATTATTATACTATATTTGTGTGTTTTTATTTTATACTAGCATTGCCCGCGGCTCCGCCCGCGTTCAGATGACCAAAAACCAAATTCAGACAATAACAACGGTTACCATGGCAAAGATAGATTAAAGTGAAAGAGAGTTAGTGCGTTAGTTATCTGTTTGTTGCCATGGTAACCGTTGTTATTGTCTGACAAATGACATAATATTATATTCTTTCCTTCTTTTCCTTCCTTTGGGGCCACTTTTACATAGGTAGAGGTATTTTATCATGCACAGAAAAAAATTAGCTTCAATTTGATAAATAAATGATGAATATACGCTATGAACGTATAAATGTAACAAAAACATTTTTAATGACTCGCAACCACTTTTGCGGCCACTTTTACATAGGCAGACGTAGTTTATCAGGTACAGAAAAATATTAGCTTTATTTTGATATATAAATGATGCACGTACGCTATGAACGCATAAACATACCAAAATATGACCCGCTTATACCTGGCTGCGAAGAGGTTGCGGCCAAATGCGCAACGGCAGCTACCATTTTTTAAGATCTCTACGTATAGTTCTGTGAAGTGGAGTATAATTCATTGTAATAACAAATGCATCGTGTTTATTCCAAAAAGTCATTTATTTAGTTAATTAAACATACTAGCGGGCACATTTGAATAGGCACCCCGGTAAAAACATATTGTCCCTTTTATTATTGTATGTAAAAAATTAATTTCGATTAAATATGCTATGAACGTAGTAATCTTGCAGTGGGATCTCGATCCATAAGGAGTTAGCACACCGACACAATAAAAAAAATCTCACAGGGCGATAAAGTTTCTCTATATTTATCAAATCCAGTAGTCTCCCTTAAAACAACCCATTTGCAGTATGGGTTTATATGAAATTTGTATTTCCTTGTCTGTACAAATATGCACAACAATATTTAATAGTAATCGCAACATCGGTTCCAAGGGAGTGCTTAATTTCCAAAGCCGTAGCAACACTGTCACAAACAAGGAACAGATTGTCTCCAAAATACCTAAAGCAATTACTGTTTTTGGGCAATTTTGATGCTACAAAGTTTCTTTAATATGTGTAATAGCAAAAGATATTTTTTCTTAATTAAATGAATTTATCTTACCTTGTTCCTGATGAGATCCTATGATTATAGTTTGGTGACTGGAGTGGACTTTTTTGTTTTGATGTCGTTAAATAGTCTCAGTCTGATATTGTTCTAAAATTTATGATGTTGTCTAGATATTATTATTTTATTTCCTTAGATATGAAGCCATCAAGAAAAAGTGTACTGTAGATAGGGCAGTGCCCACACAAGTAGTGTGTTCGCGAAACATGACTAGCAAGTCGGCCATGTCCATTGCCACTAAAGTGGCCATTCAGATTAATTGCAAGGTACTTAAAATAATATAATGTATGTTTATGTTAATAGTATATTCATTCATCTAGTCAATATCTCAATTGTATAAAATAAAAATAACAATTTTAAATGCATTTAAAGTCTAACATAATCAGTAACTTCCTCAATATTGTTTTAAATAACTACTATAAATTTTATTTAAGATAATATAAATATTGTATAGCATTTTAGTACATTGTGCTTATATTATATACTAGCATTGCTCGCGGCTCCGCCCGTGTTCAGATGACCAAAAACCAAATTCTTAGGTTTTATATATTAGTATACTCTTACATTGCAGTTTTTGTATTTTTTCTCAGAAATGAGACTTTTTCCGCGGTAAAAAGTACCCTATCCCTATATGTTACCAAATTTCATCAAAATGTCCAGTGCTTTTTCTGTGATGTGGTAACAGACAGACAGACAAAAATTCTAAAAACTAGATTCAGCCTCTATATCGATAATGTCTATTTCAATAAGATTTTCCAAAAAATATTTAATGTACAGATTCGGCTTAGTTACAATTTTATTATATTTATAGATTCTATAATTCATACAAGTACATGTACGTATATTGATTACTAGCGTCTCACCCTCGCTCGGGTTCCTCTAGGTGATTCTCTAAATTGACGTATCTTTTTTATTTATGAACCGATTGAAATAAATCAAATACTAACTGCTAAGCGAATCTTACCACAATATATTAGTGAAAACCGCATCTAAATCGGATAAGTCGCTTCTGAGATTAGCGCCCACAAACGCCCAGACAAACCGACAAACTGACAAAAATTCAAAAAATCATTGTTTTGGGTTCTATTGCGTAAATAAATACCCCCAATGTTAGTTTTTCTCAAACATCTTACATATACAGACAGCGATCAGTTACACTTTTATTATATGTATAGATGTGATATGCACTTATAATATACGTGTTAGCTTGGCGGTGCGCCTTGGGCGGTGGAAATTCCGCTACCCACGTTGATGGTGGTGGGCTACGACGTGTGCCACGACACACGTTCCAAGGAAAAGAGTTTTGGTGCCTTCGTTGCCACGCTCGACCGCCCCATGACGCACTACTACTCCAGCGTCAACGCGCACACCTCAGGCGAGGAGCTCAGTGCGCACATGGGCTTCAACATGTCGTGCGCTGTACGCAAATACCGCGAGAAGAATGGTTAGTGGCAACTTTGATATCTTTAGGTTTATTTAAAAATATAGGCCGTGGTACCCCAGTGGTAACACGCTCGCTTGGGAAACTGAGTGAAGCGGACTTAAGTCTCGCACCTTTGATATTTTCATGTGCGAATCATTTCTAGCATGATTACCACTTGCCTTACGGTGAAGGAAAACATCGTGAGGAAGCCTGCATGTCTGAGAAAACCTGCAAGTTTTCGAAAGACATGTGAAGTCCTCCAACCTGTACTTGGCCAGTGTGGTAGACTATAGCCTGATCCCCCTCGTATTGAAGGGAGGCCCGTGCCTAGCGATGGAACGTTAAAAAGGGTTGAATACATATAATTTAAACATATATTTTATCAATATAACTGATAAAGATTTCATTTATGTTTAATCCTTTTATTTTCCCATTTATTTGTTGTTTAATTACAAACGTTAAAAATCTTATTTTGCAGGAGTGCTACCAACACGAATTTTCATCTATCGCGATGGTGTTGGTGATGGGCAAATCCCATATGTAAAGAGTCATGAGGTAAGCCGTTATATTAGCTAACACTATATGCATATAATATGTTCTTATAGAAAAGCTTAGTCTATTTAAATATATTTTTTTAAATATATTTAACGCCTTTATTATTACTAAAGGAAAATTAAGTTTGTACTAGTATAGTTCTACATTTATAATATTTTTCAAGGTGGCAGAGATTAAAAAGAATCTCGACGAGGTATATGGTGCAGAGGAGTACAGGATGGCGTTCATCATAGTATCAAAGAGGATCAACACCCGCGTGTTTATCGACACCGGCCGCTCCGGCGAGAACCCGCGCCCCGGCACTGTCATCGATGATGTTATCACGCTGCCAGAACGGTAACTTGTTCATAATTGTATACATTTCAATTTTTCATAGTGTCAACTCAAAATTATTTAACCAAAAAAAACTACTATGAAGTAGTTTTTTTTTAGTATTTAATTTGCATATGAATGCAAATTTTTAGGCAGAATATAGACAAATTTTCTGAAAATTAAGTAAAATATGTTAAAACAAATCCTCAATATATGTATTATAGTATTATTGTATTTATTTAAGTACAGAAACAGAAAACAAATGAAAAAAAATCTATCTTCATGTTAAAAACTAAAAATATCATTTTAAATTTGTTGTCCAATTATATCTGTACACAACATTCAAATAAAAACATATAATAATTATATAAACAAACTTAACCAGAAAGTGAATAGTAGAGTACGAGTCTGTGCATTTAAAGTTGCACAAAAATTATTAAAAAACAAAAATAAAATAATATTTACATTTCATTTGGAAAAAGACAAAGAAAAAAAAAGATAAAGGAGAAGAAACAGAGAGAAAGCGTATCCTTATTATAGAAAATGTAAAGTAAGAACTATATGATAATGCTCTACAATATTATAAATGCTAGAATATTTGTAACTACTAATGTCTCGCAACTACAGTCTGATTAAGTGTTTTTATGTATTTTGCAGTTTATAGAATACTAGTGCCTCAAACAGACACTCGTCGTACAAACTTTCACCCCCATTTTCACCCCTCTTAAGGTATGATTTCTGGGATAAAAACTATCCTATGTCCTTCCCAGGGTCTCAACATATCTTCTTACTACATCTAAATCGGTTCAATAGTTTTGGAGTCTATTCAATATAAACAAAAAAAAAAACAAGTTTTTTCTCTTTATAATATTAGAATAGATAAGAAGCTAATCTGTAGATAATATAAGTTCATATAATTATTTCTTTCTCACTTATTAATCTTTTCTTCTAGATATGACTTCTATCTGGTATCCCAGAATGTCCGCGAAGGAACTATTGCTCCCACTTCATACAACGTGATTGAAGATAATACTGGCTTGGACCCTGACCGTGTAAGTACACCAATAAAAAAGAAAATGTGCATACAGATAGATAATTTTACCTTTCATAATATTACAGCTAAATGTATATGTATATTAATTATTTATTTATGCTCTACCATTTAATATGGACTAACAACATTAGTTATTTGAATGTTTTATGATAATTCAATAAATCAATCATAAAAGTAATTATATTGGTATCTGGATTTTACGTACATTCAAAGTTTCAACTCAATATGACAATTATAAGTTTGTTTTAAATAAAGCTGATAAAAATGAACAATCGTTCTCAGATTCAACGCCTGACGTACAAGCTGACGCACATGTACTTTAACTGCTCGACGCAAGTGCGCGTGCCCTCGGTGTGCCAGTACGCGCACAAGCTGGCCTTCCTCGCCGCCAACAGCCTGCACAACCAGCCCCACTACTCGCTCAATGAGACTTTGTACTTCCTATAAATATTCCAAACGTCTATCATATATTGTGATCACGACAAATTGCAGTTTCTCTCGTTTGATACTATTCATATTATATCATATAGATTTTTATACAATATTCTCAATTATAAAAATTTACAAGTAAAGATTTATTGTGTAATGTTAGGCGGATTATCTAAAAAAATATATTGTTTTTAGAATATGTTTAAAAATTTATCTATTTTTGGAGTGTTTAGAACTTGTATACATACATAAAAATAATGGAAGCGATGAAAATTGCTAAGGAATGAGGTACTGAGGAACATTCTAAATCTATTATTAAATCACGTACAAAAATTGATTTTAATGATAAACTGCAATTTGCCGTGCCGTTTTTTTTCTATGTGTATATTCTAAACTACTATATAGATTTTTTAACATTACTCCTCTATATATTAAAAATAACAATATGCAAGATAATTACAGAGTTCTAATTTTATCTCACCGATTTAGAGATCTGCTGTTTGTTAAGACTTATACTAGGCCTTTATGATTGATTAAATAAATGTTCGTGCCATACGTGCACTATAGTGCATAAAACTTAAACTTGTGTTTGTAACTTACATGGTAGTATTTGGTGCATTTCTACTATTAGTATTTAAGATATAAACTAAACATTGAACTTATTTATGACGCAGCTTCTTTAAGCTGCTTAAAATATTGAATGTTCAAATAAGACATTATATAATATGTAAGTCTTCGAAATAAGGTGAATGTTCATGAAACATTTACTTTCTGTTTTCCTTTCGAGAGGAATTTTTGAGAGTGACTGATATTGGCGACCGTGATTTTTTTAGTGCCTAAATATGTTCGTTTTGCACTCGTGACGCTATGCTCCACTAAAAGTATAGTTTAATATGGATATGTTTTTGTTATGTTACTCATGAAAGTATTAGTAACTCATAAAGCGTTATATTAGTTGTAAGTTGATTATTGTTAAAACATTCCAGTTCATTGGGAGTTTTAAAATGCTTTCTACCTCGTTTTTATAGTGACTTAACGTTATGCCTAAAAAGGTCCTAGTTTACGTTTAGCTAACTTAATTCAGATGCCAATGAATACTGTTTGAATAATCTACTAAATGTCTTCTTTGTGATTCGCTTAATTCTTTCTTACCAGTACTAATTTTAAATTTTGATTTAGTTTCTTAAGAACAATTACTGTTACTTTTTTACTTGGAATAACAATTTTTTTTCGTATTTTGTGTTTTTCTTTCTTTCTTATCAATATGTTGTATGCGCCATGTATGTACTGAGAATATTAAGATCCTAATTAATTTTCATTTAATTTCGAATAAATTTCAAAGGAATTGTTACGGAAATTAGAATGGTAACCTACGAATAAATATATTATTTATTCCTATGGTAACATCATAAAATTTTGGTATTTAAATTTAAAATTAATATGTGACTTATAATAAAAACATTGCACTTGCGCGAGGAAAATCAACCAGAAAATAAAATCACTAATTAATGCATTCCAACTCGGGCCTGTCCTTATAATTACCTACAGCCGAGCGGCACGTACCTACGCGACAGGGCTGCCCGCCGGCCAGTATTTTAATTTCATCTACCTACTTGTACCTAATTTCTTTCTAGTTTTATTTGTAGATTTAATTAAAAAACCTAAAATTTATAATGATGGTATGTGACCCTTATAAATTTGAGATTTAAAAATATTTGCACCTCGACTGAACCATACGAAAAACTATTGTTAAATTTAATACACTGGCGTGCAAAAAAAATCGGGCCATCTAGAGAAAATGGACAAACTTAAGATATGATTTTTTAATTAATTTCGTTATTATATATGGGTAGCTGTATACCCTAGGTACCTAAATCAATAATCGTTGAATAATTTAAAAAAAAATTATTGCTCGAAAATAGAGGAAAATCAAATTTGATGATTTTTCGCGAGTTTGGTATAAAAATGTAAGCCGCAAATTAATGAGAAAATTAAAAGATTTCAATTGGTTTTATGATTTTTAATTACAGCTTTTAATCAGGTTTTTTCAGATATTTGACACACTTTTTTAGATAATCTTGTGTAATAGACTCCCATTATTCCGATAAGGCGCTTTTTAATTCTTGAATGTAGCTCGGTACTACTACGCGACTTCTAACTTTTCTTTTGAGATGGTCCCATACATGCTCTATCGGATGGAGGTCGGGGCTTCGCGCTGGCCAGGCAATAGTAGACACTCCGACCTCTTGAAGATACTGCCTTACTGATGTAGCAGTGTGTGGGCGAGCATTATCTTGTAGAAGCAGAAAATCTTCTCCAATGAAAAAAGTAAAAGGCATCACATGATCTTCTAAAACCTCCGTTATATACCTAGCGGCTGTAAGGGATCCATTTTCTATGAATATAAGCTCGGTTTTCGCTTCGTAACAGAATCCTGCCCAAAACATAACTGAGCCCCCTCCATATGACACTGTTTTCCGCATAGTGCATGGTACATATCTTTCACCTGGTCGCCGGTAAACAAAATTACGGCCGTCGGCACCATGCAAACACATTCTGCTTTCGTCAGTAATAAGAACCTTCTTCCTCTGCTACAAATTCCAATTCACGTGATCTCGGGCAAAAAGTAATATTGCAATTCGATGTGCAGGGGTGAGTTTGGAGCCAGTTGCGGACTTGCGTGGCGTCAGGGAAGCGGCTCTAAGTTGGCGCCTTACTGTCCACTCGCTAACATTAACACCTCACTTCTCTCAGGAGAATTCGAACGTCAACCTCTGTGCGATGACGATTTCTTAGAGCTGATGACACAATAAATCGATCATCACGCTCTGATGTGGCTCTTCGTCGGCCGGAACCATGTCTAATCTCCTTAATTACCTTTGCGGTATTTTTTTTTCACCAAACAATTGTCAACAAAAAATTATGCTTAAAATTAAGGGTGGCCCGATTTTTTTGCACGCCAGTGTAGTATAAAGAATCCGCATTCAGATAAAAAGTTTTATTAAAAATACTTTAATTTTTAATTTAATTAATTCGTTTTTATTTTTAAAACGTACGATGTCTCGATACTTTTTTGTTTGACATAATGGCGAATTTACGGGAGGAATAAAATGTTTATTTTTGTATCCAATTATAAAAGCTACATAAAATAACCATCTTATAAAATTTTCGTATCAAATTGTACGATGTGACAGCCCCGCACGGTTGTCTACCGAACGTGACGCGCGTAGGTATAACTCGATTTCCGACCTTTTGTATGAAGATGGAATACTGTATGTAACATTACCGTGATAAAATTGTTTAAATTTCAATAGATGGCCTTAATAAAACTATCTTTTCGGATTATTTCGCGTATTTTGATTTTTTTGTTACCGACGTTTCGAATGCTTTACAGCAATCACCTCATGGGAGAGACTACGGTTTTAGATGTCTCGGCTCCTAAGTACATTGAAACCTAGAATATATTCTAATATTGAAAAAATGTGCAAAATAACAAATGGTAAATATTGTAAAATTCATCCTGCAATCGAATAAAAAAATTCAACGATTTTAACATTAAGACGGTGATAAATAAACAATTCATAAAAAGTTAAAGGACCATCTGTGAGTACATACTAGAAACCCATCATCTGATTGCTGATATTAGGGGACGAATTTTGCCTTTATCTCCCGCCAGATGTCGCGATCACTATGGCCCTCGGTATATTGTAAAGCTCTATAACGTGGATATTTTTTTTATTTCATTTTATTTAAAATTTAATTAAAATGACAAATTGTACAGTGGCCAGCATGCAAAGAAAATGGATATCGTTTATTCCCAAAAGACAAAAACTGAAGAAATTGTATGTTAAATCAATAAGACGACCAAAATTGGTGAAATCTCAATCTTGATATTTAAGGTTTATGTGGACAGCATTTTAATGAAAGTGATTTTAAAACTTACATCGTCCACAAGTGTTTTTTTTTTGGACTTTTTTACATATTAATTACAGAATTTCATACAAACTTTCATCCCCCATTTTACTCTCTCATGGGATTGAATTGCATTAAAATGTAAAAATAACTAAACAGGGGTTTTCGTTTAGAATAGATCTAAGGTACTAGGTACTAATCAGATACTTTCGAAGTCGGTGCCAACCGACTCAAAGCAAATCTAATATATTTCGATACGTAGAATACTCACAAATTGATGTATAATATTTTAAATATAATTACAGTCAGTGCCGGATTAAGCAAGCGCGGGGCCCGTAGCAAGTTCTTTTGACTTTTGAAGAGCCCTTGACTTGAATTTGGGGGTGATTTTCAGCCTCTCGAGACCATAAAACATACTTTTCTCGGAAATGGCTAAACATTTCAATTTCATTTTTTTATTTATTATATGTATTTCGAAGATTACATTCCCTTAGTTTCATGGAAATCAAATGATTATTGTAGAAATTAAAAATAAATAACCAAGAAAAAGTTAAAAACCGAGTTTTTTGTAAATATCCCGAAAACTGAAATTATTGTAAGAAGTGTTATTTATAAAAGTTGTAGATGTCTACTAAACCTACAACTTTTGTACAAAACATTTTTCGATAGAACGTCACAGTAAAGCGGAAATTGAAAAAAAACTATTTTTCAACGCTTTGCGCCCCGCCATTTCTCGGTGGTAGTTGGCCATAGGGGGCATTTACGAATTTAAATTCCCTATATACCTGCTAACATTTTAAAATCATAAAACTTCAGGTTTTCAATATACATTTTTCTCTTAAAAATAAGCGGATTCCGATTGGTCTATTAGTAGGAAAAGGACGTTTCATGTCTTTGTGACATCAAATAAATTCAATATAAAAATTATGCAGCTCTATTCAAATTTAGTATATTTAAAAAAAATGTAATACCGATGTATAGATAGATACTTTATTGTACACCACAAAGAAATATACAAAAAGAAGATATAAACAATAGATGATGCACAGGAGGCGGCCTTATCGCTATAAGCGATCTCTTCCAGGCAACCTTAGTTCGTAGGAGAAATTATATAAAATGGTAGGCGGTGTACTTACTACACACAATTGCATATCCTAAATACATAAAATAAGTACGGGTGAGTAAGATAAGTAAGCCAAGTACGGGTTTGCGGACCAGGCATGTCTTTCGAAAACTTACCAAGTTCTCTCAGACATGCAGGTTTCCTCACGATGTTTTCCTTCACCGTAAAGCAAGTGATTTGAACCCACCTACCACTATGCTACCACTGCCCTAAACCCTGCCTGCGTGTAAAACCCGATCTTCTGTACTCTAAACCCCATTTGGCGTCAAAGAGTCTTTTGATCACATTAAGAAATTTTTTTGACCGTTTACAAAGAGTATTTGTAGACGGTCGCAACATAGAATATTTCGAGTTAATTAATCGTTTTTCCGTACAAAATGTATGGGAAAAGTTTTTGGCGATTTCTGTAATTTCTAGTACTCATACATTAAAGGGTCCCATGAAGTCTTTTGATCCCTACATGAAATAGGATCGATTGACAGAAATTTTATAATTCATTAATTTTTTTTTTGGTATTTTAGCATTTTTTCGCTAGCTAGCTAGCTAGCTAAGCTAAGTACCTGCCCTTACTGTTCCGTCTCAAAAATCCACCCTGTATTTGCACTGTTTATTAGTTATTTTCTTAATGAAAAAGAAATTACATAAAAAATATTATTATAGGCTTAATTCAAAAGCAATAAACATTATAAAAAAAAATAATTCACCTTTATTTAAATCACACGCATATTGCCTACCTATTATATACATTGCTTAACGTTCGAAAGTTACAGTTACAGGTAATAATTTCCTCCTGTCTCCTGGGCAATTTTGACCACGGCGGCTAATGTCACTAAGAAGACTAGCGCAGTGATATTATAGTGCCCAAGTGTACGCGCAGACACAAGTGCACTGTCTATTCCTGTTACTCTCGTATGAGAGTACCTATCAATACTACTCTAGAGTATTACAGTGGGATGACAACTCACTCGACCAGTGAGAGATCAGGCGCAGGACCGACTGCTTTACGTGTTCTCCTAAGGCACGGGGGAGAAGCAATGCTAACTTACCAACTCCGGCTGTTACTGAGACTTTCTAAACAGAAAGACTCAATAATTAAACTTGGCCTAGTCTGAGTCTTGAACCCAGAATCTCTGGATCTGCAGCCGTAGCTACATGCTAGACCATTGAGGTAGTTAAAGTTAAATTACAGGTTTTTAACGTTAGAGGTATTTTATGTGATGGAAGAGAAATTTTTAATCCTTTGTACTTCTTCATGAAATTACTAGAGATTTACCCTCACTCGGGTACTTTTTAAACTATTAATTAATAATATTTAAAAAGTACCCTTTTTAAATATTATTCATTAATAGTTATTAAGAGTGTACCCTAGAAGATAGACTTATGATTCATATTGCAGATTTTTTGTAGGTCTTTTTAAGACCTAGTATTTACCCAGCGAATCCTTAGAATTCACATGGCTATAAAATGTAAATTTCTAAGAATGACTCGCCAGAACCAGTTACTACGTTTTCCCGACGTATCCTTAATGTTGATGAATAATAAGTTATTACTATACTCTTTGCGTAAGACGCGCACACGAAAAAAGAACAGACAGAAATTATAGACAAAAATGTTAGTAACTATTGTTTTTGGGTCTACATTCTGTACATAATACGTTACAGTCATTGTTTAAAAAAACATCCAGGTTTTACTAAGTTACTGTTTTATTATACATATACTATATTGTTATAAAAAAAAAACAAATGTATCCCTCGGGAACCGTAAATTTTTTCTGGGATGAAAAGTATCTAAAATGTTGACCGGGGATATGAGGTACCACCATGCGAAATTTCATTTAAATCGGTCTAACAGTTTCGGAGATTATCCGTACAAACAGACAACAGAAACAGTATGTACAGAAGACAGAGAAACAAAAAAAATAAAAAAAAAACTGGATTTTTTCTATTTCTCTTCTTACATTCTCCTGACTCAGTTTTTAGCAAAAATTTTCTATGTACAGATATTCGACCTCTACAGTTTTATTATATGTATCTATCTATAGATATTGATTGCGTTTTCAGTCCCTGTATAAAAAAGGTATTTTAATAAAACTTATTTCAATAACTAATAACATGTACTCTTAAACTAGAAATTCTAACCGATCACGCTGATTTTATCGCCCAAAGAAAATATTCAAATTTCCCTCGGCGAATTTTATAAAAATTGCAATATTTTTCCGCAGGCCCATTATTTCTTTCTTACCTTATATGTATGTAGTGTACGTTGTCAACATGTTTTAAGAGGTCCGCGATCATTTACCTCCTATGAAAATTTGCCTGAATTTCATTCTATTCTGCATATACAGGTGAGAAACTTTTACATTGCCAAAGTATGCATGATATCTATATTGTAAAATACCATTTTATTAGCTTTTTTTATTTCTCGTTCCGAATTCCTTATCTTCATTTCTCTGTCTTTTCTTCAATGGACGGCTTATTCTTCTCAATGAGAGCTATGGACTTAAAGTTACGCCAAATTAATTTATATTTACTATTATTATTGTTGACTGTTAAAATTGTTTGAGAATTAAATATATAACTGATAATTAATAACTTCTTAAGTTAAACTATTAACCGCGATTTATTTGAATTTTTCTTCACTGGACTAGATTGACCGAGTCATAAGTTCGATTATATTATTATGGATATCCTAATTTGATGGCTATAAGAAACAGTAGTGTTCAAAAATTTCAAATTTATTATATTTACAATTTATTATCTTGTACTTTGTTTATCAAGGTGATAAACAAAATCCAAGGAAATAAACTAAATTTAAGAGTTTGAGTTTTTGAAAGGCTGGACAGTTCGATTGATATACTTTATTATATTGTTTTAGTCATGTTTTTTTTCAACCATTGTCATACCTCTATAGAAGTGTAGTGTAGTAGTGAAGTAGTGATAACCTACTACTCAGGTCAACATTTAGGATAGGTACCTTTTACTACGGGAAAAACTTCCATCCCCACGGGAAAAGACAATAACTGGTTCTATCGTGTCATTCTTAGATATTTATATGGCTAACGCTGGCTAATCCTTGAGAGATACATCAAAACAAGTTACTAGAAAAGTAGGTCTTTAAAAGGCCTACAGAAAAGTCAAATTTAAATACAAAATATTTTATTCAACATTAAATTATTACAATTTTTTACTGAACATCATGAGTCTACTACCAGTTCGGAAAGAAGAAGCCTCAGACCTGAGAAGAACTGGCGAAAGAAACTCAGCGGGACTAATATTATTTCGTATTTTGTTCGTTCGGATAATGGAAGTTTGAATGATTGATTGATGGGAAATACTTACCTACTTTCTATGCCTATGTATGCACATTATAGGTACATATATAGTCTATTCTGTTAAAACCTACCTAGAGACGAAGCCGAGCAAAGCAAGGGTGAGTCGCTAGTTTTAATATAATAAAACACAAGAAATATAACACTACCTTAAAAACACACTAACTTAAAAATTATAAGTACCTTCTTAGGTACCTAGCTGATACTATTTAAAGGTAATGCTTGTGATAGGTATACCTAAAACGTAATGACTGATGGTAGATAAGTAATTAGTATAGATTACCTCGAGAGAAAAAATATTTAATGTGTGTTAAAATTTGAAATCTTTAGTTACATTATAAAATGACATTAGTAATAAAAACATGTGGAAATTGCCTGTTAAGGTAAAGAATTAAGTATAACCTTATAAGTCTATGGGTCAAAGGATCGATTGCATTGTTTACATGTTTTCAGTTCGTAACTTCGTAGCAACGCAGCGGTCGTTGTTGCCTTGAAACTGTATTTTGTTATTATCATACAGTATCCCTTGCTTTATTCTTAAAATCAGTGGCTATGGAGGAAGAGAAAAGTAAAGAAGAATTAGAAGATTGGAAAGTTTACGAAGCGTTGACAATCAAAAGCCCTACCGAGGTAAGATATACTACTATTTAAACAAAAAATTTACATATTTTTTTTACATTCTACTAGAAATATTTAAGTTTTTATCGTTACAACGTTTTATCGTTCGTCATCCCTAATTTCGGCAGGCCAAATGGGTGGTTGTTAAATGGTTAGATAAATGTAACTAGAACACGCAGAGAAAATATATAGGTACCTATGTGATATGTCACATATATATTGAAACTAGCGACTCACCCTCGCTCCGTTCGGTTTCCCGCAGTAAATACTATTTACCTATATGTTAACTCGGATACCCATGTATACAAAAAAACATTCTACATTCATCCCCCTTTTTAACCCCCTTAGGGGAATAACATTCTTCTATTACTTCATACATCGAAATCTGTCTTATGGTTTTCTCGTGAAGCACTCCCAGACAGATAGACAGACAAAAATTCTAAAAACTATAGATTCGGCGTCTGTATCAATAATAATGACAACTAGCGAGTCACCCTCGCTCCGCTCGAGATCGTCCCTAGGAATTACGTTTTAAAGTTTAATATAGATTTCTCAGAGATGAGATATTTTCCCGCAGTAAAAAGTATTCTTTATGATGACCCGGACAACCAGCTATCATCACACCAAATTTCATTAAAATCCCTCCAGTGGGTTTTCCGTGATGCGGACACAGACAGACAAAAAATCGAAAACCTATAGATTCGGCCTCTGTATCGATAATAATGTCTATTTCAATAAGATTTACTAAAACATATTTAATATACAGATTCAGCTTAGCTACAATTTTGTTATATGTATAAATTTCAATAAGATTTTGCATAAAATATTTTATATAGGTCAGATTCGACTCTGTTAGAATTTTATTAGGTATAGGTATAGATAGATATACATTATAATTTATAATAAATATACATTTACTTGAATATCGTAATAATCTTCATCGCTATTGTAAATGCAAAATGTAGGTACGTTTTTTTAATCAAAATTGCTATCCTCTATTTTTGTTGACGTGGATAATAATCTGAATTTATTAATTAATCTGAACTTATTTGGACAATGCTCATATAGGTACATTTCTATATTATTATAATATTCATATAAAAATATTCTTTGTTATTACTTTACCTAATAATTACTTATTATTTGTAAGAATTTGGTATTTGACTATGCTGCATGCATGTAGGTGAAAATCTACGAAAAAATTGCTGGAATGTAGCCGATTTTGATAGATGTTTTATGCTGTAAATCTAAAAGGCTATCTTAGAAATATATTTAACTAAACTTATTCAACTTAATAAGAAGCAGGACATAATACAACCCCGGGGGAGAAGCCAACTCCTACCGGGCGCGTCCCCAGGGGAATGCCACCCGCTTAGGGCGGCGGGTGGTACCGGAGAAATCCGATGGGGGGAGAAATGGCTTGGATGGGGTCGCTCGTCTAGGCCTCGAGCCGAAGACGTTGCGGCCACCGGTGGTGGGACCGCTTGGTCCCACAACCGGATGATGGGTGCCGGTTGCGGGACTGTGGTCGCAGGCCCGCATACGGCGGAGGGGTAGGCCGCGGCGGGAGAGGAGTGCCGGTATTTCGGTGCGCCGTTCTCCCTACCTTCCGCGGCCTAGACGGGGCCGCCACCGTTTGATGGCGGACGCGGTGGGGCTGCAGGGGAAGAGGAGTGTCGGTGTTTCGTTGCCGCTCTCCCTGTCCTCTGCAGCCGATTGGAGGTGGCCCACTTCGGTGGGCGGAGGTTCGGTTTAATGGGGCTGCTCCGGGTACCTCTCTGGTGTAGCAGAGTTGACTATGGAGCAGCCCCATCGGTGTGGTGGTCAGCCGTTGGAGACCTGCCGCCGGGGCGCCGTAGTAGTTATGCGCAAGCGATCCTGCGGCGTTCCATTAAGGCGGAGGGGAGGGGAAAGTCGGGTTTTAGTGGGTAGTACCGGCTCTTCTAGCTGGTGAGCCCCACATCACCACCTGGGGGATCAGGTGGTATGCGTAAATGCATTTCCCGACATTAAAAAAAAAAGGACATAATACAACGGATACGATGTAAAGCTTGTTGTTCGTACTCGTTAAGCCGTAAGCTTTTAAACATACATACATACCTACATATAATTAAACACTTTAACTACTTTTCTTTATCGATATTAAACAGTTGGTTGGATAGTTGATGAGTTTCTATATAACGTAAACAAACAAAGAATGCCAAGTATCCAATTGCGATAAAATTTTGTGAAATTATGCTAAAGATTGTATGTATATATTTGGTTGTAAATCCACCCAGAATGATATTTACGATACGAGTACCTACATACTACGGACATAGTACTATCAGTGTACAGTATTAATTTGGCATTTACGAAGAGCGAGGCCGGCGGAGACTGTTAGTGTATATAAAAAAGTTCACAATTAAGGTAGATTTTTAGTATTATAAGTAAAATGAGGCATAAACAAAATTATTTAATCTTAAAAAGAAAATAAGATTTTCGTATCACGTGAAGTCTAAACAAACCAGTCGAGTTGAATAGCATGATAAACGCTCCTACCTCGTGCCTTGCACAAAATTCCCCGATTCTTTAAGTGGATGTTAATGGACTTCCGCAGTGATCAACATTTTTTATTTCATCAAAGTACCAGTCCTGCAAAATAATAATAATAATAGCAAGATAGTTGTTTAGTGAGTATTTTAGGAATCATTCTTAAAGGATTATGTGAATAATTGACATTTTTTATTTAATCGGGCTTTTAATTAAAAAACAAAATTTGCATTTACTGATTTGTCGTACTTGCAAACAGCAGCAAAAGACAAATAAAAAAGATAATTTCTTACATCAAGATATTTTATGGACCCAAAAATTATTATAGTTATAGGTACTACTTATTTCTACTTTTTATCCCAGCAGGCAGTACCTACTTGAAATTGTGCCTGTTGCAAAAAGTTATCTTTTGACGGTTCGCTACTTAACTATATTTAGAATCTATTACAGACTGAAATTTCTTTGAACTTTTTTCACTGTGGCCAAAAAAAAGTAGTATTTTATAAGATATTTTGTAAAGGCACCGATATCACAGATATTTCTGTCATAATCAATTTACATACAACGTAAACATCGATTGGAGGGTTGCCATGACTATTATGGAAATTACGAAGTTAAATTGTATAGAAGCGCTCATTTATCCGTGCATAAGAAGATATCGTGACTCTTGGCGAGCTTAAAATAGCAACCCCTATCACGCTAAGTTACAAACAAAAAGTACTCCCACCGTAATACTAGTCTTTCTTCGCACGCTATCGGTAAACCGTCTCGTAGGCAATCAAATAATTTACCTTTAACTGTTACGATGAAAATTTGTAAGTTTTTCAGATTAGTTAATTCCTTTTTTTAATACCTATTTTATTCAATATATGTGCCATGGACATGTGACTTACAGATGGAAGCAGACGTTGAGAATGACGTGGTAACATCATTAAGAGGTGACTTGGCAGGGTTACAATATAAGCGTGACAAGTTAATTTCAGAAGTAAGTTGAGAAGCATTATTATTTTGATTGTGAGAAGTTTTCAATAATAATAATTTATATTTTTAGAATAGCGATTTAAAAAACCAAATGTTGTCCCGGGATCAACGAATATTAGAACAACAAGTCGAAATAGACCATCTTCGAGAACAAAATGCTCGACAAAATGCCATCATTTCGTCTCTTAAAAAGAAAATCCAAGACCTTGAGGAAGTTCATCGAAATTCACAAGCTTCACAAAGCAGGAGCGAATTAACTATACAAACACTCCAGAGAGACAACCGTTACTGCGAAGAAAAAATTAAGGACTTGGAAAAGAAACTAAGATCGCTCGAATTAGAATGTCACAATGAAGAACAACAAAAAGAAAATGCACGTTGTCAATTTCACGACTTAGTCAGACGATTGTCCGTCGCAATGGACGCTGATTTTTGTGATACAACGCACACTCACTCCCCAGAAAGCCTCATTATCAAAGCTTCTGAACTCGTACAAGATATAACGAGGCTAAAAAATAAGTGTATGAACACGACTGAAAACTTATCCACAATTGAACAAGATCTTAGAAGCTGTAGAGATACCCTAGAAAGAGCAAACGCCGATAAGGATATTTTACAAAGACAGGTTTCTTCTCAACTTCTTGATATAGAAAGATTGAAGCAAGAAAAGGAATCTCTTTCTGTGTCTAATAGAGTTCTCGAAAGGGAACTACATGAAGCAAGAGAAAAGCTTTCACACTGCGCTAAGAATTTAAATGTTGTTACAGATAACGTCAATCAAAATGAGTCCATTATCATTCAGCTAAAAGGTTGGATATACTTGTGGATCATCTTTTTTAGTTTTACAAATAATACTTACACTTTGAATAGCCATATTGTTATTATGAAATGTCGCAACTCATGTTATTTTGTTTGATTTTTAATTCTGATGTTAATAATTGTATTGACGTTTTATTATAGTTTCTTTTGTATTAAATAGTCTATTTACCTGTAAAATAAAATATTATGCCTGATTCAATTAATCAAATAAAACAAAAGTACAAACAGGTTTTTTGTCTATTTTTAATTGTTAAAATTGTAGAGGATTTAAGACATCGTGATGAAAAGTATCAAAGACTGCAAACCGAGTTTCGAAATACGATGGAATCTATTGCAATCCTTCTCAGCTTGCCAACACGTTTCGTTGAAGCACACGAAAGTACTATCAAGGATCGAGTAAGAGAAATATTAAGCGACAATAAGGACAAGTCTGTGGTAAGAATAAATACATCATTCTGAAATACGTAACTAACTCCTTCGGCCAACAAACTATATATTTATATTTTTGTTTATCTAAATTTGGCTTCATAAATAATTTGATTTATTAAAATTTGATTTTAAATTGAACAATCTTTTTTAGATTTGCGCGAATATTTGACATTTTAAATAAAACTATCTTTTCGGATTATTATATATAGATACTCTCTTCCAGGTCTCTCTAGTGACCACGATTGCTGTAAAGTATTCGAAACGTCGGGAACCAAAAATCAAAATAAATCCGCCAAATAATCCGAAAAGATAGTTTTATTTAAAATAAACAATCTTTAATAAAGTTATTGTTACGTTAAATTTAATTACAACATAATACACCTATTATACTTATTACTAGATTAGGACCAAGTGACGCTAATATTTCTATTCGAATTTTACGAAACGCAAGTACCTAATCCTCATAACCAATATCAACCAATTGTGTTTTAGCAAATAGATGCGTTACGAGAAAAATTGGCGTTAGAATCTCAGCAACTGGGTAGAACTGCACATTTGCATGACCAAGCCACAACTCGTGTTCGGATACTGGAAGATGAGCGGAATATGCTTGAATCTAAAGTGCACAAACTCGAATCAGAGCTCAACGCCATAGAATTGTCTAGAGATAATTTACGGAAAGATAAAGCGAATGTAAGTATTAAGGTTATATAATTTGGTTTCTAACACATCGGACGATATAGATCGTCGTCGTTTCGTATTCTTATATAGATAACTGGTGAAAATTAATTATTTATTAAAAATGAAATAAATCTTTAATGACAATTAAATGTGTAAATTCCGTCAATTTTAATTGTTAAAAAGTTAAATTAATATTTTTTTAAATATGCTAGAATGACTTCAGAGATTATAACGGTACTGTATTTGTGGTATAGAAAAAATGTAGTTCACTTACAGATACATTGAGTTTATTTGGCAGTACATACATACCAGACAGCGGACTTGATGTAAAAGTAATATTTTTTTTATGCTCTTGCAATTTTTCTGTCAATTTTCAAAGATTCCAAATAAACTCACATTTTCAGACTTACAAAATTACGACTAGCTAGCTAGTATTTGATTTTATAATCTACCTTCTTTCATTGTTATACTTATAATAGCCTCGGTGGTGTAGTGGCTAGCATTTACGGCTGCACACTCGGAGGTCCTGGGTTCGAGTCCCGGGTCGGGCCAAGTTTATTAAGTCTTTCTGTATAGTAAGTCTCAGTATCAACCCGGAGTTGGGAAGTTGGCGGTGTTTCATCCCCGTGCCTCGGAGAGCACGTAAACTCTCACCGGTCGTGTCGAGTGGACGTCCCACCAGAGTATGAAAGTGACAGGAATAGAGAGTGCACTTGTGTCTGCGCGTAGACTTGTGCACTATAATATCTCCTGCGCAGTTGGCTAGTCTCAATGAGATTAGCCGCCGTAGCCGGAATCGGCTAGGACAACATCATCATTACTTATAATTTTTCACTATTTAGCTTACTTTAGTAATCAAAATTTACTATATTAACTTTTGATAATTTTAATTTTTTTATTTATAAAACAAAGCATTTTCAAATATTTTGGTGACAGACAAAGGAATGGATGGGAGGTTTAATGAGATATTTCTGTGACAATTTTCGTAATTTTGAAATACATCTTTTTTATACGCCAAAATGTAATGACTGGCAATAGATTTGAGTTTGAAATAGATATGAATGTTTTGCTATTTGATTTATAATTTTACTAGAATATTTAAAAAAATGATATTTTGAGAATACGAATATTCGATAATTGAATGTTATATTACACCATTAGAATAGCTATACATAGAGAAGTGAAAAGTTTAAAGAAGTAATTTCCGCGTGTGCGCAGCCCCGGGCAATAGGCAGTAGATAAATATTGAAAGCATGTTCTTCAAAGTTAGATAAGAGTCACAACATATAAATAAAACGTCGATGAAGCTCACAATTCACCTTTTTCCGACACAATACATAACATCATTGTTACAGTTCGTAGCATTCCTCGAGCGGCTGAGTCGAACACTTAATATGGATGAGTTAACTCAGGATATCGGCGTAGAACTGCACACTGAATCCATTATGCACAGGGCAGAGCAGCTTGCGAGGCTCGAGAGCGATAAAATTGTAGACAAGGTCAGTCACTATAGTATATAGCGTAACGCGAGATATGTAGAAAAAAATATATAATCAGTTAACATTCTTTTTACCCACTTGTCAATATATTTAGATTTATACTTGGTTGTGCTAAGCATACGAAAGTAAATACTAAGTACCGTATCATAACACGAAAATGTAAAAATTTAAAACTTTTAAGTTCCCAACAAACTTCAAAGTACCTAATATTAACAGAGTATGTAAAAATATTACGCAAAAAATACCTCCTTAAGCTTTACCGAGCTGCCAGAAAAGGAATAAAGAAAAATGGCATTCAACCTTTGCTTGATTTTAATACGTGTTGTGCTGCTTTGTATTTTGCGTATATTGACTTAACCACTATCATTTATCTTCATACTGTACTTGGAGTTACTGACATCAGCGGGTAGTATATAAATCAGCTTGTTTGAAATTCAATGGTCAGACAAGGCTAAATATATCGTACAGCCAATTCGAATCAACAAAAATAAAAAAAAAACACAATTGATGTGTCACTTTCCTGTGGTTTAATGATAGCGGTTATTTTAATATCATGTGTGTGTTTTGTATAGCTGCTATATTACGGATACTATGGCACGCTCCCGAGACTGCGCAGGGAGCGATCTTTCCATGACTTGCCTTACCTTAAAGAAGTAAGACACAGTATAATACAAAATTGGCATGGCATTACTGACGTAGGTCCGAGTCGTGCTTAAATAACAATTAATTCTCCGCAAATTCCTTTAATAATTACACCTAACGATGTTTACTGCGACGACCACAACCTAAGTGATTAGCACCGCCGAGCAAATGTTTCACGCTATTCAATAGTTATTAAAAAGTTGTTTTAACACTTCATCTAATTATCAAGAGCCATTTACGAACAGTTTCTTAAAAGTATTCTACCTATCATTATTTTCTTTAATGTAGATAGACATAAATAATGTTGGTATTTTTTTAAATAGCATAAAATAGCTAGATAATGTAGTTTGACAACTGTATTAAAAATTGTCAATTGCTAGAAATGATGATGAGCCTATTTTTAGACTGCTGTGGTATATCAACTCCAACGACGCATTCGAATACTGAGAGAGCAATTACAGAGGAAAGACCTGCATTTAGATTTACTTCGACGTAAGCTCAGTGTCCAGGTATACCTACATATTATAAATACAATAAAAAGAATACACTATACTATTCAACTAATCGCATAAGCCTTTAATTTTAATTTGATTTCCTTTTTGATTGATTTCGATTGTTTGTTTTTCTCGGAATAAATAATATATAATAAATTAATTCATATTGTCCTTATTTTTTATTATCTTTTTTTATTTAAATGAACACTTCGTATGTTAACAATATCACAAATACCGTTAAAGTAATTAACGTCCGTTTATATAATAATTAATTTATTTGAAATAAAACAAAACGGTTTTATACGAAAGTACCTACATACGTTTATTAGATTTTTCCATTATATAACACTAGTTCAATTAAGGCTTGTTTAATTACTTATATTATACATAATAAGTATCTTAAAACTAAATAAAGATGTGCAAAGCCGTAAGATAAATTATATTATATTTTAAAAAGTACTTTAAATCACTCTATTACGATCTAAATTGACTTTTGTCGAGGATGAAAAACTTTTAGTAATAAAATAATGTATCTAATTTTAATTTCCACATATTATAAAATATATGAACAGGAAGAAAGTTCGCGAGTCCGTGCAGTACTGCAAGCGGAGCGAGATGAGGCATTGAATCGGTGTAAAAAGCTCGCTCGACAGTGTGACAAGCTCGGCGTGCAGCTCAGCGACGCGCGATCACAGCTCCGTGATCTGAACACGCAGCTTGCAGATGCTGCTGAATATAAGGTTTGGTTTGATAAAATAATAATATGAGATTTCATCAGTAACGTAAATCCTCTAATGAGGTTCGGTCGACGATCAGCTAGTTAATACAAAATTAAAAAAATGTTAATTTAAATAAATGAATTACTTAATAGTAAAATGTTTTTTACATTTTACTATTTATTTATTTATATATATATATATATATAAGGCAAAAGTGATTGAAAAATAGAAATTAAGGCTAGAAAATTGAAATTTCGGACACATATTCCTCATATGACGTAGGCATCCACTAAGGAAGGATTTTTCAAAATTCAAACCCCCAGGGGGTGAAATAGGGAATAAAATTTAGTATGAAACTTTTTATTCCTTGGACATATTTGCATGAAATTTCGTATGAATTGAGTACGGCAAAAATAATAAGTTACGTATTTCAGCGTTTTCCAAAATTCAACCCCTAAGAGGGTAAAATAGGGGATGAAAGTTTTAAATAAGCGCAGAGGCCAAACCCTTAAAATTTCGCACACGTATTCCTCATATGACATATCCACTAGATATGTACACGGAAGGATTTTTCAAAATTCAACGCCCAAGGGAGTGACATATCGGATAAAAGTTTGTACGAAATCTACCTTTTTTTAATGATTTATTTTGTTTTAGCGCGAGCGAAGCCGCGGGTTCTGCTAGTTTATTATAATTACTACAATCAAATATGTATGAAGAGTAATAAAATAAGACAACTAAACGAACGAGAGTTTTTTTAGTGTCGTGATAATATTATATCAAAATAGATTAATTTTCTAAGTTATGCTGTTTCTCACCTATTTCATTTCTTGTGGTTAATGCCCGTTATTTTCAAGCAATATGGCACAATAGTCGGACTTATTGAGTGAGATTTGCGATACATAAATTACTTTTAAGTATAATATCTCTTAAAACTTAAGATGATGACGTTATTTTCATAACTATGTAAATATTCAATGATTGTGTATTTAACGAAATTCTAAGTTTATATGTTAATATCAATTTAATATTCCCTTTATTAATAAAAAATATTTGAAACTGAATTACATATGCTACAGAGTAGTAGAAGTAGTGTTATAGCGAAGAAATGTAAAGGTTTCCTTCCTTTAATAACTTTTTGCAAAAGGACTTGATATCCCACGACAATGACTTTAAGTACCTAGGTACCTCTTAAGACAAAAAGGTTGTTGAATCGATACTAAGTTGCTGCTTGAAAGAAGGACATTCGTGTAAGTAGTACTATACTAGTGGTTTGGCAGTAATATTGACACATCATAGCGATTTGCGTGCTTCAGTTTTTTGTTGCTCTTCATTCTACAACGCAATTTTTGATAGAAAATATAAAGATAATTTAAAATGGGAATTCTAACTATCTATCGGGAATCTATCAAAAAATCTTTCAAATACTTCATGAAGAAAAAAATCTCAATTCCACTCTTGAGTTTTGAGAAGCTTAACAACACGCTCCAGTAGCATTACAGATTCGATTCAACATACTCGTAAATCATATACCTACGTTGGAAGTGGATTTACTAGAACAATTTGCTTACAAGGTTAAAGTGATTTACTCGTTACAAAGTGATCTTATTTCTAGATATTAAATCTCAGCTTGGACCTTTTGTTAGGATTTAAATAATATATCATTCGGGTATAGCTATATATGGCTGTCAACGACCGATAATTAAATAATTTTACGCTTTTATCTATATTTTCATATTCCGATCCAATAAATATCATACTTTTACTACCATTAATTTGTCCAATTCGAATTTATTTGATAAACGCTATATATTTAATATTATTTAAGGTTAATCATAGGGTATTGGATCTACTATGTAAATTTCTTCTCGGAAGTCTTTCGCAGTAAAGGCCATGGCCATATTTATAAACCCGCAACTATTATCATAAATTATTATTATATCTATTGTCGTAAGTATTATTGATGTATCAAAAATATCGTTTAGTAACAAATTCTAGTACAAAAATAGTGAAATCAATTTCTAATATAACATTACTTACGCAATCTATAATCATTGTTTTTAACAATGTTCTGCGATCAAGGCCCCAACCGTAATCATACGAGCACTTTATTGAGGATTAACTAATTGAATTCCGATATTTATAAATGTGCAATTATTTAACCGTTTTTAAAGTAAATCATAGTAAATTGGCCATGTATTAGTTATTTAGGTCATTTGAGACGTAAGTATTCTATTTTCCAGATAACCTCATTGGAACGTGCACGTAAAATAGAGGAGCTACAAAAGAAACTCGATGAAGCGGAACTCCTCAGAGCACGATACAATCGCAAAGTAAATGTATTAAAAGACCAAGTGAGAACAACCGGTGAAACCTTTGAACAAGAAAGAACCACTTCGGAGCATCAAATTAATATGATACGGGACGACCTTTCTAGAACAAAGGAAGCTCTCGCTGAATGTCAAAGGAGAGAAGCCCAGTTACAAAGCTTCAGGTAAATACATAAATTTATATAACAACCATAAGGTAACAATTTCTTCAACTTAACGACCGAGTCCTATATCATAAATAGTTAAACATATACAGAAAATACTTTCATTAAATTGCTTGTTATAAAAAGAGAACTTTACGTCCGATAAGGAATAAAATAATGCAAAGGTTGGAGAAATGTGCTCGTAAAAATACTGGATATTTTTATGTATAAACCACATGTGCATATAGATGTGGTCCTATACGACCCAGGGCTACACATTGCCTTCACACGGAAAATTACACTGTCGATCGCCCTTAACCTTGACGTTTTAAATGCAGAGCTGATATAGTCGATTACAAAATAAAATTGTATTACATTGTCACTTTTTGGACACAACAGAATTTAAATAACTGATCGTTATTATTAATAGATATAGGGATTTCATTATTTTTAAAGGTTGTATAAATTTAATTTAATTTCAAAATTGTTGAAAGTACCAACTGAATAATTTAAGTTTTTACCTCCAATAGGAATTCAATCGCCAAACTCCTCGGTATATTGGTACCGTCTTCGGTATCTGACTTTGAGATGGTTTCCCGACTTCAAAAACTTATAGATGCGCACCATGACTTCACAATAGTGTCACGTCGCTATGACGATCCAACACTACTACGAGCTTCATCAAGATCTCCACCTCCTTCCAGATGCAGAACTCGAACTCCTGACAGGTATACATATAACAAATTAGTTACAAAATTTATAAACTTAGAACATTTTAAGTAGGCTATTAGTTGTAGATTAACAGTTTCAAGACTTTTTGTCCGTCAGCTGTTAATCACCCATCACTCAAGAAAGGATAATATTTTTAAATATGGACAAGCTAATCATATTGAACTGGTGTAGTACATCGATTTCAAACAAAGTGGGTATCGTGCTTGTCATTTTTTTTTTCATTTTTTTAATTTATTCTATTTAGAAACGCATATGAGAATGACTTCCTTCAATAATATTTTAATCGAGCAGTTACTGTACTGCTAATCTACTTTATTATTTTATTTACTGAATTAAATACATCAGAGCTTTAAAGTTCGGATTTTGTAGATGTTTTTCTACAAAGACAAGCGAACGAGGTCGCTAACAAAACCTAGTGTTATTATCAATACATATACTAGACAATTATGTAACAACGTTATAATAACAAGACAATTATAATGCTATAGGCAATTTAATCAAGTTAACTACATGATTGATATTTTATATTAAAACTAGCTTCTTTAAGCGATTTGCGCGCTTTATTAGCATACAAAGGGATTTCAAATCATGAAAGGTTAAAAAGTATTATATGTTTTAAACCTGGACATAATGTAAGTAATTGTAGGCAAGTGTACCTACTAAATATCAATATAAAATAATTAAACATTCACTTTGTAAGTATTTAAAATATTAATAGAATAAAAATATAATATGAAAAAAGTTGCCATAAATATTTTTATCATAATATATTATGCCTCTTTACCCAGACTATAAAGTACCGTAAAAAGTAATAAATTTAATAAGCTATCATTAATTGTTTGATTATTAATTTATATCAATTAATTTTCACTTTTTAATAAAGATTCAACAAAGTATACAAAAAACATTTAGCAATATAAAGTTAATATAGTTATACGAGGCTTTCTGTTAAAAAATGCATTAAAGGTTGATGATATTTAATTCATCGCCAGCCCCATAAAACATTTCCTTTCTTTCCTTATAGCTTAACGCTCATGAAAAGATTCTTAACAATATATGGGTATAATTAAAAATATATTTGACATCCAGTAAAATAAATGATAACAGGTGTTATTATTATATTTAAAATAGCGTTTACAGCTAGCCTTATAAATAATATTATTCTTCAATGAATTAATTATTTTATTTGCTATTCTTATATTATAAAAACTACCAAAGGGACAATAATAAACTTTCATCGAATAGCATAAATACTTAGTCTTCTAAGAAAATATAATATGTTAACATGCGGCTCACTCTCGCTTCGCTCCTGATGATGATGTCCTCACCAACGGTTTCGGCCACGGTGGCCATTCCCACTAAGATTGAAGAGCCAATTACGCAGAAGATATAATAATGCACAAATATACGCACAGAGACCAGTGAACTCTCTATTCCTGTCACTCTCAAATTCCGATGGGACGATAAAACTCCGGGTTATTACGTAAATTTTCTAATAACAGAAAGACTCCATAACTAAACTTAGCCCGACCCGGGACTCGCACCCAGGACCTCCGCATGTGCACCCGTACATGCTAGTCACTACACCACCGAGGCAGTTAGGCAATTCACCTAAGGAGGTACTGACTATTGAACATTGGCTTTTGTATTACTCCCGGTCATACTCTTTCTGTTTACCTACTTTAATTATACACTTTAATGTATATACTTTAATTTTCATCCAAATCTGTCCAGCCATTTCAGCGTAAAGAAGTAACAAACATACACACAAATTTCCACAGTTACATACATATAATAATAGTAATCAGATTACTGGTATAATATACGTATGTTGTTGATTGTAGATCCCTACGGTACGATGACTCCGGTTACGCGGACCCCGCGTTTGATCTCGAGGACGAATTGTATAAAGGGCGTGCGGCGTTGTGACAGTCGCGTCGCCGTGCCCGCTTCTAGCCGGATTAAGGCTCGGCGACAACCAAACAACATGTTCGGAGGACTCACACGTTACTCTCGAAACGTGGTATCTAAAAATATGGTCTGTTGATGGATGGCAACTTATGACACCTTATTTATCCTGCAGCACCTATCGTTTCCAAGTCTCACGAGACAGTGACTAATAGTATTGGTAAAATTCATTACATACAGACATTAGTGCAATATAATAATGTGTAAAAACTAAAAATATATCTTATAATATATATATTTTAACTTTACTTATACAAAGTAATAAGTATGTAATAGTTCTTTCGAACTTCTAACAATATCACGGTAGTTACCAGTAAATGAAAAATTTGCACATGTATTGTTTTTAATGGTTACCTACAAGTGCTTCTTTGATTTAGTTTTAAATACATATTATATAAAATAATTATATATAATGTAACCAATATATATTTTATTATTTATAATACAGAAAAGAAAAAAGGTATGTCACCAACATAACTCTGTTGGCGCTCTTATTACTTGTTTGTGTGAATATGAAGAAGAATGTTATGTCTCTGTTAAGACCCCAAGTCTAAACATTATAAAACTATTGTATATTTATGTGAATCTTATCTATTTGTAAAAATGAGTGAACATGAGTAGGTTCAATAATTACGTACCTCCAAAATTCTCAAAACTTCACAAGCTAGCTTTATTTAATAAATGTTCTATTTCACAGATTAAAAAAACTTACGAATATGCATAAAATAGATAAGAATTGACATTTTTATAAAACCGTATTTAATCTTAACGAACCAGATAACCCTTGACCTAAAGTCTAAACTATTATCTAAGACCGTCTCCGACCTAGAAGTTCCAGCTACTATGTCGCTCAGTGTAAATGTTTGTATGCAACACACATATCTTGAGCCTTGTCTCGAAAAGTTAAGAAAAGTATTTGAAAAGATGTGTTCAATATTTAATGTAAGTAGTCGTATTACTCGTAGTAAATAAAATATAAAGTAAAAAAACAAGTTTAATAAAAAATTAATAGTTATGAATCTCACAATATATAATTAAGCACTATCTATAAACTGTAATTTTATTAAACCCGCATTTTTTCTGCAATTAACATTAAACTTGAGATATTCTGGGGTACTTAACCTTATTTACCTCTATTAAATATCCCAGAAGGCAGTGGCAGCCCAGTGGTAACGCGCTCGCTTGGGAAACCGAGTAAAGCGAGTTCAAATCCCGGGTCTCGCACCTCTGATATTTTCATGTGTCAATCATTTCCAACATGATTACCAGTTGTCTTAACGGTGAAGGAAAACATCGTGAGGAAACCTGCACGTCTGAGAGAACCTAGCAAGTTTTCAAAAGACATGTGAAGTCTGCCAACCCGCACTTGGCAAGCGTGGTGGACTATAGCCTGATCCCCCCTCGTATTGAAGGGAGGCCCATGCCCAGCTGTGGGACGTTAAAAAGGTCTGAATACAATACAAATATCCCAGAACATAGCGAATCTTTTCCTTAGAGGTGCAATGACTTCATAATAATCCTTAATTTCACCTTATGATATGATTTAATTTTATTAGTTGAATAGAATAATTACTTAACAAAATTAAAATTACAATTAAATATACCATTACAAAAAAAAGTATCGCACACCAACATGAACCACTGGCTAAACCCTAAGGTATAAAGGATATACATATACATCCTCCATATTGAAAAACTCTGCTACATGTATACAATTTTTTATGGTTTCACCCAAGGCCGAGTAACCACCTTGAGTTTTTGACTTTTTGTAACTGATCTAACTTTACTACGTACAAATATAACAAGTGATGTGCTAAGTGATATCTAACAAATCAAAACTCGCAAACTGTGACAGTAGTCCATATACTTAGAATTATATGGATTAAACAAACTGTTCTTACGGTTTACACGAGAACTAAGCAATACTTCGTCAATTTCCATAAAATGGTTTACACAAAGTACCTACTGTTAGCGTTAGCAAATTTTTTAATTAAACATTTTTGGCATAAAAAGTAGCCTATAGGTATAAAACAAGCAATATTCGTGTCGATTGCAATAGCAATAGTGAAAGTAAGTTACTTCAAAGTCTTATTTATCTTATCAAAAACCAGTACAGTCGCGTACCCCCTACATCGTAATAAAAAATCGGCCAAATGCAGTAGTTTTACTGCTCCAAGCGTCCGTACCATAATAGCACATATTATATAATTTTTAATATAGCTGTTGCTATTAATTAGTTCTTAAAATAAGGACGAAATGCATGCGAAGCAAGAAGCAAGCGAGTTAAAAAAAGCGTAGTTTAATAGAACGAATAATAAATAATTATGGCTGTTGCTATTCGTCCGATAATCGGATAAATAAAAAATATATTATTCGTTCGACGATTGTCGGTTTGTTTGAACATTTACCACTTTTTTTGTTTGTTTGTAATATCAAAATAACCGGTTTTTGCTAAATGCATATGATAGTATATAGGGTACTTATAAGGAAAAAATAATCTTTAATAGTTTTGTCTATCTATATATTTGTTCCGGCTAATCTCTGAAACGGCTGGACCGTTTTTATGGGACTTTCGGCTTTTCGGACGGGGCAAATGGCTCATATTATAAGGAATTTATCTATACTAACATTATAATGTAGTAAAGATAAATTAAAATAAAGAGGAAAGATTTTTTTGTTTGTGTGTTTATTTGTTTATACCAAATAGGCCCCGAAACTACTAAACCGATTTAGATGAAATTTGGTAGGAAGATAGTTTGAGACCCTGGGAAGGATATTTAAAGGACATAGGATAGTTTTTATCCCGGAAATCAAGTGGAAAATAAGGGGGTAAAAATAGGGATGTTTATATGGGGAAGCAACCTTGATGAACCCAAGCGAAACGAGGGTGAGTCGCTAGTGTGAAATAAGTGATTTCTATGTACAAGAGCTTCTATATGCAAAAAAATAACCTTAATCTACCGGACTAAAATTTATTCTTTTAAATCCCAACAATTTTTAAGTTTAAGAATTTTTATGTGTAAGAAGTGGCTTTTAGATTTAAGGTCAAGAAAACTTCATCAAAATCTGCCCAGTGGTTTACTCGTGATGCGTTTCCAGACAGATAGATAGACAGACGGACAGAAATTCTAAAAACTATAGATTGAGCCCGTGTCGATAATAATAACTATTTCAGTAAGATTTTGCAAAAAATATTTAATATACAGATTCAATTCAGAATTTTATTATATGTACGTAAAGAACGTACCGTGATGATAGATAGATAGCTTGCCAAACAAATAGGTTATAACATGCAAATAGTTTTTTTTGAAATTGGACTAATACTTCCAGAAGATAGTGTTCCACGTATAGTACTATATCTCTTCCCCTGCCGTTCCCCTATGACTTTAGTGTGATGTTACATAGCTTAAAACCATCAGTCTTAAATCTGCTATAAAATGCAAAAGACAGAACTATTCACATCTGGCTAGTACATTCACATATTAGCGCATTCAAACAAACAAACAAACAAACAGTTATTCAGCTTAACCATCTACGAGTATTTAACAACAATTTCTCAAAGATGCTCAGCGGTAGTCTCGATAGTTGTGTGCGGAACTCTAACAATTAAATAAGCAATCTGAGGGTAGCGGCTTTGCAAGATTAGATTAATTTAACATAAAGACGGTTCTCTATTAGTACACGACGTGCGACGTGCAAAGTAGTAACGCCATTTTAACGTTAATCTCAATTGTTCCAAGATGTTTTATACTGTTTTATTTGTAATTTTACTCGCAAATTCAGGTAAGTGTTAAATTATAATTATGATTGCTCAATAAACTCGAATATGTAAATAGCTATTAAAATTATATATTAAAGAGATAAACATAAATAGTATTGAACAGGATATATGTTTGTATAAATTATTTTATATTTCATTAATTATAATTTTGTTACTAATTTTCATTGTGTTAATTTTGATAACAAGTGTTATATTTAAAAAGATTTAATCAATAAAAAAATTACAGCCATGACAAAACCACGTTATGCAGACTTAAGCGAAGACGAACAAGAGCTATTTAGAGCTGCATACGACACTCCCTCCTATGATCAAAATGAACTTGAGGAAGAAGATGACATGCACCTCGGCAAGTTGGATCTTCTTAAAGACGGCCTATGGGCTGTTAAGGCGAAATTAAAGGAGTTAAAAGCTTTTAACAAAGCTTTGGCTGCAAATCTACTTTCAACTAAGCTCAAAGTGAAGGAACTACTTGCTAATCAAATGCGTTTAAAGAACCACCACCACGATGTGCCTGAAAATAAATATCCTGTTCACAATTATCAGGTAATTGATTTTAAAGTTAATTTTATAAAGTAATAGTAAAATAAAAATTAGATACATTTACATGAATGGATAGGTATTTAGCTTAATGTTGTTCTCACACAGTTATTTCCTTTTTCTTCTTGTGATAAATATTTTATGGAAGGATTCATTTCGTAATAGGTATTCTTGGTAATAAAAAGATATTAAGTATACTTATAGGTTTCATTTATTTCAAAATAATATATGCACTAGGTTAGGTACTACGTCGCTACGAAATGCTAAGTAATTTCTATAGCACAAAATATTAATTACATAAAAAAGTGGACTGTGGAATAGAAATACAAATTCTTCAACATCCATTATATTAATAAAATGATCTATAACGTCCTCGATAAGTAAATCACGATATCACCACGCTATTACAAGCTGACCGGAAAACCTTCACTGACGTTCATATACCTACTTAGCTAGGAAAAAAAAGTACATATACATATACGCATTAACAATACGTATATGACATTTAACTGGAATCAAGCTGTTGGAGTAGCAAGTGGATTCCATTTAATTGATTAAGTACAGTCTCTCGGCAACCTACCAAATAGGGTATGATATTGAAAGTAATGATGATTTTTACTGTTTCAGCCTCAACCTTATCCATCGTACGAAGCCCAAGTGCCGCAGTATGGTGCACCCCAATATGGTCACGATCCCTACTATGGACACTAATTAGGCACCGAAGTGTGTAATATTAATTGCGCTGGCCGTTTATCTCTCTACCTTCTTTACGTTAAAAGAAAAAGAGTTGATTTATTTCATAAATTATTGTTTCGCAATCGAATTATATTAATTAAAGAAAATGTTGTTACTGTTTCATTTTCATACAAACATTATTAAAAACCGTTAGCGCATTAGATGTCATACGTCACAACTTCTTTAAGAAAGTACATTATATAAATTAAATTCTTAATTGGGAAGGTCACCAGTTGGTGTTTACTGTTGAGTAGCGTAGTTAACCGCGGCGCGCGAGCAAGACACACGTGTACTAGAAGTGAACCGCTTTTTCATTTCGTATATCGAATAGAGAAATTGAAGCCTCGCTTAGTTTTACACTGTGCCAAAGCCGCCTGAAAACGTTTGGACAAAAAATGACCGCCCAAGCATAAATAATACGAACTAAAAGTGATCCGCAATGATGTTTTTGTTAGTCGTTCTAGTTAAAGTGGACATGTCCTTATCAATACAGTAATATCGATCAGCTGTTTTAGTGCGGAATCCGTTGTTCTGAAACGAGATGAGGATCTATTTTATATGGATTATTTTACTGGTATGACTAATAAATCAATTAAAAATATTACATATATATAATCTCGAAACATACAAACAAATATATTTTTATATACAAAATTCTCAAATATCAATCTTTTTGTCAATCAATTACCTGCTAATAAATACCATAATATGTTGCCCTTGGATTTATACACTACAAAGTTCTTAAGCAGTACACCCACATTGCTCACTCAACATTATAGCCTTATTTCAACCTTCAATACTAGAACAAACGCGTGCAGATTTTAAAAGTCCGCTCAACAATATGGTAACAAATGAGAAGAGTTTAAGTTTAATATATATATATATATATATATATATATATATATATACTAATTACAGTTTACAGTTAACTTAATATAACTGGAGTTATCAAACAAAACTTAGATTATCGTCATCGGCATTATTGACAACAATATCCCATCAAAAACATTCTGTAAAAAAATTGCAAGTCTCGCAACGCATTTCTTCTACCGCAAAAAGCTATGAGATGTAATGTAAAACCAAGTCGGTTAATTTATTCATTACCTATCTATGGAAGCATCTATCCGACAACTTTGTCATAAATCGTTACCGAATTAGTTAAGTTACAACATTTTATAGTGACCGTATTAATATTAGATATATTTATTTCTTTAATTAATAGAATGACTTGTCCATCGCACGGAAACATAATCACATATGAGTCTACTACTTTAAATAGTCCAAATTAAACATATCATGACCAAGGTGGACGGACGACTTGGTCAAAGTCGCTGGAGCCCACTGGATGCGGATGGCACAAGACTGGTTGTCGTGGAACTTTTTGGGGGTCCAGCTGTGGACGTGTTTGGGCTGAGATGAACTGAACATAGCACTAGCGGCTCAAATTTATGCATACACTAACATAAATAATGCATGCAATGTTATTTGTAGGTTCTATAATCATGTGCGATGGCCAAGTCGTTCTATTAATTAAAGAAATAAATATATCTAATATTAATACGGTCACTATAAAATGTTGTAACTTAACTAATTCGGTAACGATTTATGACAAAGTTGTCGGATAGATGCTTCCATAGATAGGTAATGAATAAATTAACCGACTTGGTTTTACATTACATCTCATAGCTTTTTGCGGTAGAAGAAATGCGTTGCGAGACTTGCAATTTTTTTACAGAATGTTTTTGATGGGATCTCATTTCTTTTTGTAAATATTTCTTCTTTTTCTCTTTTCTTGTACTATTTCTTGTGTGTCAGGTAAGGACTTTTTAAAAGCCCACTCCTTGTCTCTGTGGGCTTTTTTCAGAGGCTTTGATTTAGGTAACAAATTTTGACAAGTCTGGATGATAAAAAATCTAAGTCTATTGTATTGGGAAATTACGGACTCCTGGACTTTAATACTACTATCTTATGCATTAAGTATAAATATGTATAGTTAATTTAACGAATATTTTAATTTCATTGTTGACCCTAAATACCTACCCCGATACTGATATTCGACTTACATAAGTTTAATAAGACGTGTAGATTTATGTGTCTATCTGCAGCATCGTAGTTAAATCCCGAAAGTTTTATTCCATTCCATTTTAAAAGTAATTTTCGAAGAGATTGATATCTCATGACCTCTATATTCCATGTTCTAATAGGTGGGTACAATTACGAGCAATGAGATGTTGACAAGTTTTCTAATTCATATCAACATCATACTTTGTAAAAGAAAATTTACTTATTTTGATAAGAATTCATAATTGCTGATAATATGACCAATAAACATGACCTACCGATTTAAATGATTTTTTATTATAAAAAACTACTTTTTGTGACTTAAATATAAAAGTTAGACGTATGCTGTCGCTGACTTTTTTGTAGGCATTATTAAGCTCTACAACTTTTCTCTAGAACATAATCATATATTTCTCATCGTTAAGGCAGCGTTCGTAATGTTATAGCACTTTTCACTAATTGGTTTAAAAAAAAAAAGAAATACTTGGGATTACATAAAACACAGTTTTATTTAATAGATTGGACCCGATTTTATTAGGGCAAGTGTCACGCGCGGATGTTGGAATCGAACTGAACTATAATTAATATTTAATAATTATGAACCATCAAAAGTGCTGACCAAGGAGAAGGAATAGGGCTACTAGGCGCCATTATATACATAACATATATATAACAGTAAGAAACGTTTTCGTTCGACCGTTTTTTCTCCGACTTACTTTGCAAATCCGACTGCTACGAAAAAGCCTTTTCATTTTTCGGGTTAATATATAGCCTATGACACTCAGAAAGAACGTGGCTTTCTATTGGCAAAAGAATTTTGAAAATCCGTTCAGTAGATCCAGAGATTACCCCCTACAACGTCACAAACTCACAAGATCACAAACTTTACCTCTTTATAATATTAGTATAGATAATTTATATATTAAATATATTATTTCTTAAAACTATTTACAATATTGATAATTATATTTTAGTCGTCGCTAACACTTACAGTATATCTACTATTTACCCAGCTATACATTTGGGTAGTTTAAGTGACGAAAAATGATATGTATGAACTGCAAACATAACTTTGTAATCCCATATATCGCATATCTATTTGTATAGGAATACAAAGTTACTTATGCAGTTTGTATATCTCGAAAACAGGATTGAAATTGCATGATGTTTGAGTTTTTCCTTGCGTTATAGGCTAAACACTAATAGTGTTCAAAATTTGAAACTCCTATGTCTGCTAGAAGTACCTTAGAATTTTGATGATCGGTGAGTGAGTGAGTGTGTGAGTGACGATTTTAACGAATTTTGATCTGCAACAGTTCTTAAACTACAGGTTCAAATTGAATGTAATTTGGAAATATGCCTAGTTTTATTATGTTCTTTAAGTCACTGAAAATTCAGGCTTCTAGCTTTATCCATAACGAAGTTATGGGGGGGTGGAAAATGCTCTGAATCGCTTCGAGAAAAGGATGGTACTGTCGTTCCCTTTTTTGCTCGACTTGGCGGGGGCACTCCGTGCCCCCCGATGTATATCAGACACAGTCAGACAGGCTTCGCGAGACAGCGAAGGGTAATTAATTTTTTTATCAATACAAATATACTTTTCCTTAAACTACTATTTGCCTGACTCATAAAGGATTTAGTGTCATTTATTCGTTGTAATATATAATGGTAATTCTGAACCAGTTAGCCGTCACTATAGTCTTATTTTTCCAAACAATTGCCTCTTTTACGATTGTAATAAATATAAATTATTGTGGGCGTACATGTATAAACATAAAAGTCATCATTAATAGTATGTATTTAAGAACAGTATTTGCATAACTGCAACATAATTCATCTTGGACCCTGACCCTGAGCTGCCATAACGCTAAACTCAGGCGTGTTAGGAATCCAGTCCACACGCACTATGCACTGCATTTAAAAGTCCCCCGCTTTTACACAATCACACTGTGACTTGTAATGAAAAAGTCACTTAAGAGTTAACGATGTAAAAGAAAACAAAGATATATAATTACAATATAGGGTTTTCCATATGGTATTGGGCTGGACATATCAGATTGATGATATGTATTGACTTGAGAGATAAAAATAGAGTGTAGTATAGATTTAGATTCCAGACAGTAACTGACATTCCGATCCGCTTCGCTACGTCGTGGTATGAAGTCCTTCACCTAAAATAAACCTCTGATAATATAAAATGATACTCAAATTAACTGCTTAGCTTTTTTTGTTTTAACTCGCAATATTTGAATTTTATTGTAAGAGTGAATGTAATGCGAATAAGTGTTTTTTATTGCTTAGATTTTTAAGTACTGAAAAATTATAAAATAAAAGAGACTTAGAAATTGACAGTTATTTTTAATGTAGTTATCATTTAAATATGTACCTATACAAGTCTTCATTTCTTGTGAAGTAATAAATGTCACTGTGATCTTTAAGCAAATACTGAGGAATTTAAGCCAGTTTAGGGCGAAACAGGTCTAGATAGATACTTCCTTGATTTTTTGTGGGGCGACCTCAAATGTGAGATTTTTTTTTTTACATTTTGTTTATTTAACGCTGCTATTAAGAATAAAATCTAATTGAATATTTAAATCATTTTTTATGTATTATATATTATAGTTTACAGGAGTCATTTTAAAAAAAACAATAAAATAAACACAAAAATCAGAATGAACTTTTTTCCTAAAAAGTATAATGCCTGATTTACATTCCCTACAATAGCGTTAAGATATTTTCAGGACATTAAATTTATTAGCGATTTCACGTACCTACCTATAGTGATATTTGTATATACGCAACAATTGAATCTAGAGACTTTAGATTTATTTTGTAAATAACGCGATTTTTCAAAAACTAATCTAGATACTTTAGGCATATACATTATATATAAATATGTATAAATACAACGCGGAGCTACTGTCACTAATCCGTATTTGCCTAATCAACATGTTGAAAATCGACATTTGTTGGAAAATTTCACGAAACTAAATAGAGAGATATGATGCAAGTTATATAATGTCTCGATTAAAATGGTAGGTACAAGATACCAGTTATACAGACATGTGTACGTCGCTTAAAAGTTTTTCTTTATAGACTGAAAACTGCTGTTTTTATTCTAAAGCTTATTATCAAACATACATAAGGAATAAAATTACATGTAAAAAGACATTATTTAGCTAACATCTTTGTCAGCATAAAGATTGTACAAAGAGTAAAATGTTTATGCAACTGTTTTAATCTTTTTTTTCTATATTTTAATCTTTATGTGTGCATACCTACTACACAAAACACGTTATGATTTTATGTGAAATGATATTTCCCTGAACGATATGTACCATAAATAAAAGCAAAATGTACTTCAAGTTGGCATTCGCTTGCTAACATTTCAGAAAACCTATACATTACACGTTTTTCTTTGTGGTTTCAAGTTCGCTATCATCTCACAATTTATTTGCATTCAAGTTTAAAATACCTCACGATCTGGTAAATCAGAACTGGTTTCCTCGCCTC